TTTCTCTTTCTGATGGATCTGTAACTGGTTCTCTTCGGGCCGGGCAGGAGGTGGATGTTGATGATGTCAGTTTGGTTGAGACCGAACCATTTCAGCTCTCCTCCCAAGTGTACGCTGAGCTGGTGGATGTTATGGGGCGCGCCACCGACAGATTGCAGCTGCAGTGGAGGCGCGTCCGGGAGGAACCTATTCGTGGTATTTTGGACGATCGGTTCCTCCCCACCCGTAAGCCACCGGCTCGGACGAGCCTTCCATTCCTTCCCGATCTCCACTCTGAGATCGAGAAGGCATGGAAGAACCCGTTCTCCGCGCGTCTCCATCTACATCAGCGAGCTAGTTTCGCTGCTGTGGAGGGAGCCGCGGAGCACGGGTATGTGTCGATGCCGCCAGTGGACGAGACGTTGGCTAACTATCTCCCCTCTGGTCGGTCGTCTTCACTAGAAGCTCCGACCCTGCCATCCAAGCCGCTCAGGACAACTTCGCGCTTGAATGGCAGAGCGTACACGGCAGCAGGTCAGGCGGGTGTGGTTCTGCACACCCTCGCGGTCCTTCAGGCCTACCAAGCCGACCTGCTGCGGGACCTCGATCAGGGGGCCGGCCTGTCCCCTGACGCGGTCGCGGAGCTGCGCCGCACCACGGATTTGACTCTCCGGGCCACCAAGCAGTCTGCGGTTTCCATCGGTCGTGCGATGGCTGCTATGGTGGCCACGGAGAGGCATCTGTGGCTCAACCAGGCTGACATCGGGGAGAAAGAAAAAACTTTTCTCCTCGATTCGCCGGTTTCGCCTTCCGAGCTTTTCGGACCTTCTGTCGAGACAGTGGTAAGTTCAGGGAGGCGAGGGCGCGCTCTGCGGCGTTTAAGAGCTGCATACCGCGGAGGTCCTCGGCCCAGCCCAGGCAGGCGGGAGGGCCTGGTCCGTCGTGGTCTGAGGATCACAGACGGACCCAGAAGGCCAGTGTCGCTTCCCGTGCACCCCCTCCTCCTAGCAGGGGAAGCAGGGCGCGCAGGAGGCGTAACTCCCGCGGGAGGCAGGATCTCAGGGAGGTGATCCAGAGTAAACGTTCTCGGACTGAACGTTAGACATCACCTCCCTGGATCTTGTCTCCTAACCACCATCGCTCCCAGGCTCCTCCTACATCAGGCCTGGGGCGGGGCCCATGATGAGTTCAAGAATTCTCTGATGGCCCGCTTCAGCTTGGTTGTTAGGAGCGCCTTCCCTTGGCTTGTGAAACAGTAGAACTCAGGTTTCTGAGTTCCTGCGTCCTGATGGGCTTCGTTCTGCATGTTGCAGGTTTTATGTTGAGTGAAAATGTTTTTTTGCGCAAATAACATTTTTCTCTTCTTTTTCAGAACTCGTCTCCTGTACAGAGCCGCTCCCACATACTGTGGTCACCAGGTTACAGGCCTCGCCAGGCCTTCCTGGTTATGAGCTCCCACATACTGTGGTCGCCAGGTTACAGGCCTCACCGGCCTTCCTGGTTATGAGCTCCCACATACTGGGTTTCAGGTTACAGGCCTTACTAGGCCTTCCCGAATATGAGCTCCCACACACGGTGTTCGCCAGGTTATAGGTCTCGCCAGGCCTTCCTGGTTATGAGCTCCCACATGCTGTGGTCGTCAGGTTAGAGGCCTCACCGGCCTTCCTGATATGAGCTCCCACATACTGTGCTCGCCAGGTTACAGGCCTCACCGGCCTTCCTGATATGAGCTCTCACCTTCTGTGCTCGCACCCGGCCTTCCTGATAAGAGCTCCCACATACTGTGGTAGGCAGGTTACAGGCCTCACCGGCCTTCCTGGTTATGCGCTCCCAAATATTGGGTATCAGGTTACAGGCTTTACTAGGCCTTCCTGAATATGAGCTCCCACCTACTGTGGTCGTCAGGTTACAGGCCTCACCGGCCTTCCTGATATGAGCTCCCACAAACTATGGTCGCCAGGTTACAGGCCTCACCCGGCCTTCCTGGTTATGAGCTCCCACATTCAGTGGTCACCAGGCTTCAGGCCTCCTCGGCCTTCCTGGTTATGAGTTGCCACATGTCAGGTTTCAGGCCTCACCAGGCCTTCCTGAATGTGAACTCCCACTCACTGTGGTCGCTTGGGTGTGGTTGTGAGCTTTCACCTGCCAGGTTCCTGAATGTGAGCTCCCACACATTTTGACTATCAGGTTACAGGCCTCATCTGGCCTTTCTGATTATGTTAAAACCATACTTATGGTAAGTCACACGACGGAACGTCTCGCGTACTTTCTAAAATCCATTTTTATGGTAAGGGTCATGCGCCGTAGCTTCAGTCCCATCCTTTGTGGTCCAGACCCAGGTCTTTCACCGCAGGTCCCACTCTAGATGCGTCCTGTCGTCATCGTTTGCTACGACAGACGCCTTTTCTGATCCAGGTCTTCCTGGATTCGGAATTACTAAGTACATGCACTTTTGTTTCATGTACTCTCTAAAATCCATATTTATGGCCTTTCTGAAAGTAGCCCCCACATGGTGTGGTTGTCAGGTTACAGGCCTTGTCAGGCCTTCCTGATATGACCTCGCTCCTACTGTGGTTGTCAGGTTACAGGCCTCGCCGGCCTTCCTGGTTTTGAGCTCCCACATTCAGTGGTCACCAGGCTTCAGGCCTCCTCGGCCTTCCTGGTTATGAGTTGTCACATGTCAGGTTTCAGGCCTCACCAGGCCTTCCTGAATGTGAACTCCCACTCACTGTGGTCGCTAAGGTGTGGTTGTGAGCTTTCACATGTCAGGTTGCAGGCCTCATCAGGCCTTCCTGAATGTGAGCTCCCACACATTTTGACTATCAGGTTACAGGCCTCATCTGGCCTTCCTGGTCATGTCAAAACCATACTTATGGTAAGTCACATGATGGAACATCTTGTGTACTTTCTAAAATCCATTTTTTATGGTGAGGGGCATGCGCTGTACGCTTCGTTCCCTTTCTATGTGGCCCAGACCCAAGTCTTTCAACTCGGGTCCCACTCTAGATGCGTCCTGTCGTCAAAGTATACTACGACAGACGCCTTTTTGGCTAACTTCCTCATTCTGGACTCAGAATGGCTAAGTACATGCACTTTGGTTTCATGTACTTTCTAATGTAGCCCCCACGTGGTGTGGTTGTCAGGTTACAGGCCTTATTAGGCCTTCCTGATATGAGCTCCCACATACTGTGGTCGTCAGGTTACAGGCCTCACCGGCCTTCCTGATGTGAGCTCCCACATACTGTGGTCGTCAGGTGTCAGGCCTCACCGGCCTTCCTGAATGTAAGCTCCCACATACTGGGGTCGCCAGGTTACAGGCCTCACCCGGCCTTCCTGGTTATGAGTTCCCACATGCTGTGGTTGCCAGGTTACAGGCCTCACCGGCCTTCCTGGTTATGAGCTCCCACATACTGTGGTCGTCAGTTTACAGGCCTCACCGGCCTTCCGGATGTGAGCTCTCAGGTACTGGAGCTCCCCACATAGAGGGTAATCAGGTCTTTGGCCTCAGCAGACCTTCCTGGTTTTGATCCCTCTCTTACTTCCTCAGTGTTCAGGACGAGCACTGGGTAGACCCATGGATTGAGTGGACGACTTCCGTCATTTCTTGAGGTTGAGTTACACTCTCCAGGTGGTCCCTTCTCTGTGATCCGGAACTGAATGGTTTCTGCCAGCTTTGCAGGCCTTCAGTTTTGAATGCCTTTTCCAAGGCAGTTTCCAGAGGCTCTGTCTCGGACAGACAGGCAATGCCAGACTGTGCGTCTTAGTTTAGATCACCAGGCCAGCCTGGTGGCATGTCAGGAGGCATGCTCTCCTGAATAGTGACTGGCTGGGAGTCCCTTGAGTCCCCTAGCCACACTCCCTAGAAGGGACCCCTTCTATTAGGAAGTTGTGGTCCTAAGCCTTTGAGCTGGCCCAGATATACCTCCCATTAACTTTGTTCTGGCAGTTTTTCTCGGTTCATTAGCTTGGGCTATGACCGGTAGGGAGTGCTGTCACTGACAGCCCAGCGTGACCTAGGGTGAGTGATTTTTAGTGTCCTTTGTTTTACTGGTTCTGACAGTTGTCACTGCCATTGGGCATGCACTCCCCTCAGTATGGCGGCGTGGGTATTTCGTTCCCCATAGCGTCGATGACGTATTGTTGAGTTCCCTTCGAAAGGGAACGTCTCAGGCTACAACTGTAACCTATGTTCCCTGAGAACAGGGAACGAGACAATACGTCTCCCTGCCATACCTCGGGGCCTGCCTGCAACAGTCCCTTCAGACGATAGGATGTTGTCACGGTTTCAAGGCGCCCTTTTTATACATCCAGATTGACGCGCTCATCATTCGAGCTGATGATGCACGGGCTGTCGCCGGTCAACATGATTGCTGTGAGTTGATAATTGATTTCAGACACCTGTCACGCCTGAGGCGTTCCCCATAGCGTCGATGACGTATTGTCTCGTTCCCTGTTCTCAGGGAACATAGGTTACAGTTGTAACCTGAGACGTTCACTGCCCAGCCATCCTGCTGCTCGTGGTCTCCAACCTCACCGCTGCCTGCATATCTGCAACTACTGGCCTAAGACTGTCAACCCCGCTGACTGCTGCTACCCAGCTCAGGGACCTCTGCTGTTGTGTTTCACCAGCCAAGTTATCAACTTCTACCTGACGGCAGACTGCTTTTGTTCCCTTTTCTATTAAACTTTGTTTCTGTACCTGCCTTCGCTCTTGGGTCCTCTGTTTATCCTGACACTCTTTTACAGTTTTGTAACTTGATTGATGACATTTGCTCATCAATCCATGCACTACTCTGACCTACACCAACTATGAACACATTTTCTATCATGTTTTTATCAAGTGTAGATATTTTGTTGTTAGTTTTACGGTAAAATAAATTATTTTTTAAAATTAGTTTATTTCCAGGTTTAAATTCACTCAAATTTAAATTGTTATATTCCACATTTTTAAGTGGTCTCTTGTACCCTTTTGTATATAACTTTCAATGCACAAATATTCTCCTTTCTTTCTCTTTTAGTACCCAGCGTTTGTCGAATGAGGTGCAACTGATCCACGTCAGAACGTCCTGGCCAAAGAGGATTTCCAGACAGCAGTTCAGCAAAGACACAACCAAGGGCCCAGACATCAACTGGGGGACCGTACTGAGTGTCTCCGACCAAGAGCTCTGGGGCCCGGTACCATCGTGTTGCCACATAATCAGTGTAATCATCACCTGGACCAGCTGTTTGACACACACACACACACACACAGCTTTTTACAAAATGGGGAACTTACATAGACTTTTATTGTTTTTATTAACAGCTAGTTATAAATACTATAACCTAACCCACATCATAACTATCTGTAGTTTAGCTAATTTTAAAACAACTTTATTTACTTTGGGGATGTCATCATTTGTAAAAAAAATTATAAAAAAAAGCAGTATAAAAGTAGTTTTGGGAGCAATTGTCATGTTTAGCTTACTTCTGGGTACAAATTTGTGCCCAAAACATGGTTAAGTAGCTACACATGCACAGATTCAGAATTACATGTACATCATACAGAAAGGATTACAACATGCTGATGGATAGACCTTGTGTTAGCCTATAGTAACAATACACTGAAACCCAAGGATGATGTAAGCTGACCCTGACTGGCTGACTGCACTTGTGAGGCTTCACGCTGCTCTGAAAGTGTGCTCAGGACGCATGACAGCTGATATAGGTAGACGTATAAATAAGTCATTAATGAAGTGAGGATGCTAAATGCACATAAATGGCTAGAGTGTGTGAGCTGGACAAAGTCACTTACTGAGGATGCGAGCAAAGCCAAAATCACATAGTTTGATCACACCAGTCTTGGTCAGAAGAATGTTCTCCGGTTTTACGTCCCGGTGGATACACTAGTATACACACACAAAGAGTGACACTGTCAGAGATACATACACAAAACACCTACTACAAGGTAGGGATTTGTAAAAGACATTTTCTTTCTAAAAAATTAAAAATAAATATCTTACCACAGGCAATAGAACCGATCTAGCAACAATCTAGCACAATAAGAGAATAAGTGTAATTCCCTTGTGTCCGAATATGCCTATTTTATGGTTTTCAAAAAGCAGTATCTGAACTTTGTCCAGATTCATAGTATTCATGACTTACTTCTCTTCCACCAAGATTCTGAAGTGTGCATTCAATGGACACTACAATCCCATGATGAGGCAACAGCAGACCATTTGTAAATGCATGGAAGCTGCACATATGACGTGGTAGGTCACATGACAATCCCAATATGGCAGTTGTAGTAAGGATTGCATTCATATTATACGTATCCATCCTAAGTAAGTTCTTCATAAAATGTAATACTTACTCTGACAGTTTCAGACACAGTGACTGTACGTAGTGCACTGTGCATGCATGTCATTTTCCAATTAAGGTCCATATTCTGTTTAAGAGTTTGTTTTTAATACAATGTTTTCACGTTTCACAGCTAGTCATATTCCTATATAGGTAAGCAATATCAGAGTAAAAGTTGAATAAACAAAAAGTTAATATTGAGTAACTTAAATTTTAGATACATTTTGCAGCTATTTTGTCTATTGTTCCTGTATGAATCAATGTTTTTGATCAAATCGGTTGAATGAATCAATGACCCGCTTATTACACACACACACACACACACACACACACATATCATAACTTGCCAAAAGAGCCACTGAAAAATCTTTACATTAAAGCACACACGGAAAGCCTGTAGGTCATGAAAAAATGTGTCTCCTCATTCCTCAAAAGGCTCTTTAACAGTGCAGTCATAACTGACACACATTGGTAGGCTATGAAAAAAAGGCTGGGCATACTGACATTGTGTTTGTGACAGAAGTTCACAGCTTGTAGAGTTTGCCACACAATACTCTTAAGTTGTGCCTCAGGAACCCTGAAGAGAGAAAAAAGGACAAATGTTAATATAAAGACTAAGGCTGCTGGCCAAGAAACAGACATAAATCAACTATATGGCATTTTCACACCTGGCTCATTTGTTCCGGAACCTGATGCGTTTTCTCCCTTAGTTCGGTTTGTTTATGCAAATATGAACACTGCAATTGCGCTCGGATCCGCACCAAAACAATCGCACCAAGATCGCCTGACTTAGGTGGTCTCAGCCCGATTGGAAACAAAGATTGGGGCGGTTCAGTTGAGGTGAGAAAGCATTCAGACCCAACGGACCAACAAACCAAGCGGTATCATATTTCATATTGGGAAATGTGTTATATAAAAAATGTAATAATAAATTTATATATATAAATTTGAAATATAATTAAATATATACACTCACCGGCCACTTTATTAGGTACCCCATGCTAGTAACGGGTTGGACCCCCTTTTGCCTTCAGAACTGCCTCAATTCTTCGTGGCATAGATTCAACAAGGTGCTGGAAGCATTCCTCAGGGAGTTTGGTCCATATTGACATGATGGCATCACACAGTTGCCGCAGATTTGTCGGCTGCACATCCATGATGCGAATCTCCCGTTCCACCACATCCCAAAGATGCTCTATTGGGTTGAGATCTGGTGACTGTGGAGGCCATTTTAGTACAGTGAACTCATTGTCATGTTCAAGAAACCAATTTGAAATGATTAGAGCTTTGTGACATGGTGGAAGTAGCCATCAGAGGATGGGTACATGGTGGCCATAAAGGGATGTACATGGTCAGAAACAATGCTCAGGTAGGCCGTGGCATTTAAACGATGCCCAATTGGCACTAAGGGGCCTAAAGTGTGCCAGGAAAACATCCCCCACACCATTACACCACCACCACCAGCCTGCACAGTGGTAACAAGGCATGATGGTTCCATGTTCTCATTCTGTTTACGCCAAATTCTGACTCTAACATCTGAATGTCTCAACAGAAATCGAGACTCATCAGACCAGGCAACATTTTTCCAGTCTTCAACTGTTCAATTTTGGTGAGCTCTTGCAAATTGTAGCCTCTTTTTCCTATTTGTAGTGGAGATGAGTGGTACCCGGTGGAGTCTTCTGCTGTTGTAGCCCATCCGCCTCAAGGTTGTGCGTGTTGTGGCTTCACAAATGCTTTGCTGCATACCTCGGTTGTAACGAGTGGTTATTTCAGTCACTGTTGCCCTTCTATCAGCTCGAACCAGTCTGGCCATTCTCCTCTGACCTCTGGCATCAACAAGGCATTTCCGCCCACAGAACTGCCGCTCACTGGATGTTTTTTCTTTTTCGGACCATTCTCTGTAAACCCTAGAGATGGTTGTGCGTGAAAATCCCAGTAGATTAGCAGTTTCTGAAATACTCAGACAAGCCCTTCTGGCACCAACAATCATGCCACGTTTAAAGTCACTCAAATCACCTTTCTTCCCCATACTGATGCTCGGTTTGAACTGCAGGAGATAGTCTTGACCATGTCTACATGCCTAAATGCACTGAGTTGCCGCCATGTGATTGGCTGCTTAGAAATGAAGTGTTAACGAGCAGTTGGACAGGTGTACCTAATAAAGTGGCCGGTGAGTGTATAATTTATCAGTAAGAGCGGGAATGACGGCCACATCCGTATAAGTGTTTGTGTGCATCTCAACAGCAACGGATAAAGCCCCAATAAGCTTGCGGAGCGAACTTGTCAATACATCTTGATGGATGACGCAGAGAAAACTATGACCAATAAAAGGACAGTTTTACTCACATGTGACTTGCAAAACACATTTTGGTACGCTCTGAATTGTTGCCATGTGAAAGCGAACCAAGAAGAAATTGCAAGATTGTAACAAATGAAGTCCCTGTATCGGAAAAGAAAACCCTGAAAATGCAGGTCTGAAAATGCCCTTAGATTCTGCTGATCAAACATTTTTGGCATTCTGTAGTTGGCAGGATCTAACAACAGTTAAATTCTCATGTTCTCTAAAGATCATTGCAGCTCCCCTATATCTGTAGTAACCATGGGCATGTAGTCCCTGGCAACCAGTTCCTTTGTTTTCAAGAGAAGCTAAGGTTACGACTGAAAGGCCTTCTGGGAAAGAAAGAGAATGCTGGGCAGCCACAGCCTTTGTGGCCTGACCAGCTTAAGAGCTTTGAAAAACAAGACTGTTGATGAAAAAACGTCAGGTCAGATCAGGAATCGATTACTTTATGAAAAGTGGGCATTTCAGATCGTGGGAGAGGAGGTGTTGAAAAGGAAGAGAGATTGGTGAAGTCAATCAAAAAGGAAAGTTGATGTATGGGAGTGAAAGGTAAAGTTAAGAAAAAGGAAAGAAAAGTTCAAAAGGAGAAGAAAAACACAAGATAATCTTCTATAGGGGCCAAATATCTTAAACCATAATTATTGCATTTGCTTTATTTTCCTGTCATTTGTAAGATTTAGATGTTTTTTAAATGAGGAGAATATGACTGACCCTCTGGGGTGCTTGTCCAGTTCATTTAGAACCGTTTGCTCACAGAACTCGAAGACCAAATGAAGGCGTCTCTTTCTCCTGAAGACCTCAAGCAAATTCACCAAATTCACATGCTTCAACTGCTATATGGATAAAAATAGAAATGTTTATGTATAATTGTGCAAATGTTTAGGGGATTTACAATATGTATGCATACAATCTCTATATCTACCATCTCCTGTACCTTCAGCATGCGGATTTCTCTCAATGCGATCTTCTTGATGACTGGATCATCTTCAGACTCTACAAATTTTTTAATGGCCACTATCTGACCTGTGTCCCTGTGTCTGCATTTGAACACAACTCCATACGAGCCCTCGCCGATCTTAGCCAGTTTCTCAAACTTATCCATCTCACAGAGATCATGAAGGGCTACATACTGCAAACAAACAAACAAACAAACAAACAAACAAACAAGGGCTAGTTGTAACACACATGGTTTAAAAGATTCCACACATAGCATGACGAAACTTAGTGTATTTACTAGTTGCCATATCAACACTATATAATAAAATTGCGTCAAAATCTTATCTTTTCAAGATATTACTGAACATTTATTTAACCATAGCTAAAGTACATTTCTAACTGAAGTAAAATTTTTCATCTCAGTTTTTAGTGTTTATATACAATGAGACAAATTTGTTATTATTTTATCTCCAATTTGTTATTTAGCAGTTTAGATAGTTTTTTAATCCTTATCTAACCAACAGAAGGCACTAGCCGGGTTCAAATCCCAGCTGCGCAGGCGGGCATGTTTTAACACTGCGTTACAATCTGCCCCAATTAGACCTATGCTATTCTATGATGTTAGTGATATACAGTAATTCACATTAACAACTTTTATGAATTCTATTGAGAAACCATGAGAAAGAGGTGAATAAAGTTATTTAGAAATTATTAATTATTATGTTTTGAACTATGCTGTATAGTTTTGTTTTGTGGAGTTTTTATTTATTTATCAAACTAAAAAATTTGTTAATTTTTAATTATTAAAAAATTCCATTATTTTATATGAAAAAGTTAATAATTGCATTTAATTGACAAAATATTTTAGTTTGTCTTGTATATATTTTTATTAGATCAGATAACATTTTAAGCTGTCATATGGTCATGTTACAATATGTGTCATGTGTCAAATCATGTGTGAAATTAATGTGGGAAAAATTTATATTCTGAACCCTAAGTAGATATACACAAACTGAGAAAGTCAAAAAGTGTTAGGTTGTGCCCCGCTCTCCCCTATCCACAGAAGTTTGCACATGTGTTTATTTTTTTGCTGATGTATAACCTGATATTCAATCATTTTTTTTGATACATTTTATTTTTGTCTTGAATAAAACAGCTCATTTAGATATTATCTGACAAAACAGTACAGTGTATGCTAATATGATCAAATACAATAGTAATAAAAATGACATTGAGTATTTCCAAAACTATTAAAATAACACAAATAAAGCACATGTTGGCCCTTAGTAGGGCTATTACCTATTTTAAAGCAACTTTAGTTGTGTTTACATATTTATGTACACTGTAATGTAGTTGTCGTCATCCAGAGGGCATTGGGAAAAATATACGTTTTTTTCTTCTTGTCTATTTAATGAACACCAAATTAAATATTTATGAGAAGGATTTTTAAATAAAAACATGCTGCTAACAGTTTTTTTAATCTAAAATATAAAAAATAGCAATATGACTTTCATATCTAATTCAAATAATAAGCTAAAATGTAAATGTAATTTAAAAGCTTACCTGAGGAATGACTGGTGTAAATTACAAAGCTTTTCTCTTCTCATCTACGTTAATAACAGTTCTTCCTCTTTGACTCTGAACATCATTTCAATGTTTAATACAGTCGCAAGTTTTCTTCATGAGCTACAAACACGCAGTTCTTTTAGTTGAGTGCCTGCAGTTTCCTGAGGCGTTGTCTTCGAGAAAGCTCCATCCTAGTAGACATTAGCATTCATTCCTCTAGATCAGTGACAATATATGGAAATGTCACCGGAGAGTCGTCGATTTGTTCACTCATTTGAGTCCTTTTAGAAGTGTTCTTACGCACAGACGACGTGATGACAGTAACAAGAACTGTTGTCTGCACCTCAGTCTCACCCACAGCACAGCTATAGCTCTGAGCTCAGTGAGCAGGTGTAAGTGATCACTGAGAGCAACACAACCCTTCCACCTCTCCGTGAGGCTCGTTTATAGGTTATGTGTACGTTGATTGTGCACTGGGGCTCTATAATAGCTATATAACGTTACATTACACTTATTTACATTTCTCGTCTCCTCTATCATGGATTAAAGTCAAACTGGGGTTCAAGGCCACAAGGGGGAGCTAGAGGTCCACGGGAAATTTTATGAGGAAAAAATACATTTTTAAATTTATTTATTTATTATTTAGGAAAACGTGTTTATTTGTAATATTTTCCAGATAATATTTCAAATAAATTTTTTTTTTATACAATGACCAGTCATTTAATTCAAATTGTCTTTATGGTTACTATTTATATTAGATGGCCTTAACTACTAGGCTATGCACTTTAACATTTGATACAATATATACTTTATAATGTACATACAAGTTGCATTGTAATTACATTTTAAAGTTCTTGCCTTTGTTTCCCCCTGGATTCTGCATGTGTTTCGGAAGAGAATAGAATCAGGCTCTTGAAAGATTTATTTTTTAATAACACTTTTTGCTCTTTTGAAGAGCTTGAATGTTGTTTTGCTTTGCCTAGATCGCATTTTTTTTTCAGATTTTTGCAAATCAGAAGCTTTTCTGATTTAACTCTTTCCAGGGATACCCCTTCCTCACGCATTGGTTAGGTGTTTGTATTCACTCGCCACAACAGGAATTCTGGAGAGAGATCTTAGAGTCCTAAAAGTATCTATTAAGAGGTCCCAATAATCATGACTCCTGTATAGCTATTTTTGGCACTAGGCCTGAGGGAATAGAATTTAGGAAAGACCTAAAAGAAGATTTATGTAGGCCTAGTTATTGATTGCCTTTACTTCTCTTTTGGCGAGGCGTTTAATTTTATTACAGTGGAAAAGGGCTGATCCTCAAACACACAGATGGATTAAAGAGGTACTGAATTACATTCGACTCGAAAAGATCAAATTTACCATCCGTTTGTCCATATTTGATCCAAACATGGGTTTAAACAACCCAGCAATTTTTAGTGTAGCAGTAAATGTGGGAATCTTTAAAAACAACATGTAGTTACGGAGTAAATCCGTAGTCTTGTTAATGTTAGTATATTTAGTAGTTTACCTAATATAAAGTGTGACATCTTTATAATATCACAATTATTATTTTTAGCACACCATATAACAGTGTATTGGTGCATTCTTCCAATGCATGCATTTTTGTGTGCATTTCTATATTGATGTGTGCCTGTGTGGTTCTGTTTCAACTGTTGATGTAAATCCTTCTAATCCATGTCAACGTTTCTGTTATAGGATGAGATCTCTCAATTAGAGAGCTGTAATTCCATTTTTACCAGTAACAGTTTCAAATAGAGGGCTCTCTAATTCCAACAGAAACAAATGAAAAGAAATTCAATTAAAGAGCTCTTTACAAATACACCATTAACAAATAATGATACGTTGGTTAAAGGTCTTTTTTCCTTTTTTTAAAGAAAAATTCTAGGCGTAACACGGTTGAAGAAATGATCAGAAGGACTGCTACTTTGACACTTTCATGAGCACAATGGAAATAATCACACAGGTCTATGTTCTGATTCACAGTCCAGTTTGAGTTTGTGGGATCAAAAGTGCATGCTGGTGCCGGCTAGCGATCTCGCTGTTTTGGAGCCTGGTTTCCTTGGCTTCCGTTTGTGAGAAAGATCACAGGTCAGTGTTGGGTGTACCCACAAACACAAATGGTGTTGGACAGAGTTAGACCTTGTCCTACAGTAACCTGATGTAACATTACATTTAGATATGGTTTCTGTGGTTAAAACACTTCATCCTATTCCAACATGCCAAGATGCATACAAGTAAGGTAATACTAGTGTGACTTCCTGAGAAGTAAACACTAGTAGGATATAACTCTGGTGCATTCAAAGATGTTTTGAGCAGTCTGATGTGGTGTGGCCATCTGTTTATCTGACCAGTGGAAGGCACGGTAAGGGTTCATTATTTTTCATAATTTTTTATTTCTTGGCAGGCCAGTATAAAGAGCAGTAATAGGTATTGGAAATTGCATGAATTTATTGTTAAGACTTGAAATCAGCAGATGATTGAACTGCTCCTCAGGTCCACAAGGGGGTGCCAGACACACATGAAAATTGATGCTGTCAAAACAAATTGAAGCTGCTTTATTTTATGAGAAATAGTCTCTTTATACCTATGTCTCTATAGCTTACCAAAACTCAGAAAACACAATATGTGAATATGTTTCATTTTCAGACATTTAAAACAAACCAAAGAAAATCCAAATGAAAACCGTGCTAAAGTTTTACTAATTTTATGGATGCTTTATGGAAATGCATGATGGAATTCTTTCCCAGCAAAGTATACTGTAGATTCCCTTTAATCAAGCAGTGAGATTATCTGAGAACATGCAAATACCTGGTGTCTAGAGAGTTGATATGGTGTGTTGTGCAGGTTGAATAATTAAAATAAACAATTCTGTTAAGGTGCAAGCTTCAGCTCTTCCAGTACAGAGAGGACATTGTTATTAAAGAAAAAACCGTGATGCTCCTAAAAAATGTCTAATGCTCAAGCCAGCCAAATGTGGATTTGGATCACACGTGTCTAATATTTCAGCTTCACATCTATTTAATGACAAAGAGGCCAGAAAATAAACAGCAAAGTGAACATCAGCTCACCGCATTACATAAATGTGGCCTTCATAACAGTGTTCTGTTGTGCAGCTCGCCGGGGTTCAGTTTGGGAGTGTGTTTGTATAATAGAGAGCATTCCAGTGTGCCTGTCATCATCTTACCTTGGCACTCAGTTAATAAGGTGTGTGGTTTGTCCAGACGCTAGTGTCATGCCCATGTTATTTAGTCTGTCTGTCCTTTCACTGTGTATTTTTGTGTATGTGTGTCCCCCAAAAGCTGCAAAGGGCTTCCTGGCCAGTATAAGAGAAGTGCTGTGTGAGGAGCAGATTTCAGAGAGTCTGTTAGCCTCATTTCCTGGGCGGAGAGTTCTCGGCTTTATAGTGAAGCAACAGCAACCCGAAAACAGAGTGAGTGAGTGAGCATGAGTGGGAGAGAGAAGTTATTGGAACGTGAAGCTCTCACAATTAATTTTGTCACCAGCAAGCTCTGACAAGCGAAGAAAGGGAGTGTGTTACAAGAGGGAGCTGATATAAAGAGTGCTGTACAAGAGAGGAGTGTCTGAAGGACTTTTTTTACTGAAGCCAAAAGACATTGAAGTGGACAAAGAGTCGAGAAGAGAAGGAACTTTTGCACTACATCTACTGCTGTCACTGCTGCGGTTCACGTGCTTTTACTGCCTGGGCACTCATGGACGGTTCATTCGTTTCGCTCTTTTTGTTTACTCCATCTGTCACTCGAAGCTCGTGGGTTGGACGTGGTTAGTTTGATTTTCCTGACATCATCAGGGCCAAAACGTCAGGGTATTTTCCAAGAGGATCTGTTTTCCTTTCATTTCCTCTCAGTGAAATGAGATGTGTATGAGAGCAGTGTTTGGTTAGCCATGTAAATGAATCTTCCCACTTGCCTTTGTAGTGGGAAAATCTTGTTTGGTTGTAGTCTTCAAAGAGCCATGTTAAACATCTAAAAAACACTGTTACTTATTTTTACTGATGGATTGTGAAGCCTTTGCTCTGCATAGAGTTATTAAACTTGCTTAAACTTCTTTACTATGTTTTGAATGGTTTACAGCATTGCCAGAGCTCTAAAAGCAGCTTTTTTCCTAACATGATGTCTGCATGTTAAATTAAGTATTACTGTTATCTGATTATCTGGATGCTTCCGGAAAATCAATCTAAGATTTCTTAAGTGGACACAGCCCTTTGTCTTGTTACGAATGCAGGATGCAACACGATGAGGTTGTCTGGTTTAGTGAAATAGTTAAGCAAGACTTCTTTAGAGGTTTTTGTGTGAGATGACAAAACATCAAGTAAAGCATCAAGACCAGAGAAGCTTGGAGGGGTAAAAATAAAACTGAGTAAAGAGGAAAGTTAGTGAGAAAACAAGGTTACAGACGTGCCATTATATCCGGACCTCTACATGTTTTCACAGCGCGAAACTAGAGGAGAGAAAAATAGTCAGTCCAGACACATGGATTTGAACAAGCATTTCTGTGTTGCACTGCTAGCAGTGAGTCTGTGATAAAGTTGTGCTGAAAGGAAAACCGTTTCTGTTTATGTGTGTATATGTTTTTTGTTTTGTTTTTACAGATTTATGCTTACATATATTCATTGTGTAGCCTACTAATTGCATGGTCTTTGTGTGTCTCTAAGTTTGTTTATATGGGAGAGCGGTTGCTCCAGTTGGCTAAACTGCACTGTGCTGTCTGGATGGAGCTCTGAAACAGGCAGGAATTTCCCATATTAGACAGACATCAGCTGTTCTGTTGGCTATTATTCAAGGTGCTTTCCAGAATCATCATCAGGTAGCATCACCTCCATAACCTGCAACACTACTGTGTCTGTTTGATCCAAAGGCTCTACACCAAATATAGATTCTTGGTGAGCCTCTCTCCTTACTTAAAACTGTTCCAATAGACAGTGTGGGCACAGATTTGGCACCATGAGGTTCGTTTGCTTGGTACTGACGGCCCTGTGCATGGTGGCTGGAACGGGCAGTATGTCAACCTGCAAGACTCTGGACCTGGAGGTGGTGAAGAAGAAACGCATAGAGGCTATCCGTGGTCAGATCCTCAGCAAACTGCGCATGGCCAAAGAGCCAGAATCTGAGATAGACGACGATGGACAGAAGATCCCAGATTCCTTGCTTTCTTTGTACAACAGCACTGTTGAACTGAGTGAAGAAATGAAGCTGAACACTGTCCCTCTGCAGGCTGAAGATGAGGACTACTTTGGCAAAGAGGTGCACAAGTTCGTCATCAGGCAAGGTAAGAACTTGGAGGTGTCCTCTTTCTGACTTCTTTAGAGATATAATCTAACATCATGTCCTATTCATTCATGACAGTGTTGTATGGTGAATAATTTTTTGTGTGCATAATAATCACTGTATAACTGTATAATTACTACCTAATGACTGTCCACAACTGTATAGCCCAGTACCTGTGAGACTCGTCATAGACATAAACAAAGAGAAGTTGCTCCAGCTACATTGTTCATCCTCAAGACGAATGCAGATCTGTTTATTATCTGCTAGAGCGCCTAACGTTACGGACTGCAGATTTAAACTCACACTAATAAAAAATGTCTATTTATTTACTTAAATGGACAGTAGCCATTTAATTGAGTGGGATGATGTGCAGTCAATACAAAAATAAATTCCTTCATAGTGATACACCGTTTTATCCCTTAAATATTTTTACCGTTTACCAATTTTTCCCCCTAATTTTTTTTTCTTTCTGAGCTGATCCTTTCTCATTTTTCGCCACCTGAGCAAAAACATTCTTTATACCAGACCTGTACACGTATGTAAACACACACACACAAAATGGTTTCATTGTGCAGTTGTAACTTTTAACTTTAATGTGCCATTTCTCTGTTATTTGACCCTTGATGTAACTTAGTGGTATTAAATCATATTTTTTAAAACAAGCAATTGAGTTAATTAAGTTAATTAAGAAGTCACTAAATTAAGCACATTTTTAGGTTACCAGAGAATTTTGTACCAGGTTCGAGTACCAGTCCAAGAAATTCTATTAAAAAATCATTTACAAAATCTCCTGCAGGACAGTTCAATTCTTTACAGTAATATAATATAGTTTGAAAAAAATGAAGCAGTAACACTGACATGGTTTGGGACGACAATTAAGTGTTTTTATACAGTCAATTATAGGCTACTTTCAGCATTAAACCATCAAAATTAAATGATTGTTTTTTGCTTATGAATTTCCAATATTTTCTTTATCAGGGATTTTAAAACTTTTTAATGGCAAGGAGCCCTAAACAATCCCCTTGTGAGATCAATTCTGTATTAGGCTACTAATATAATAAAATATAGGCCAAATAAAATATAATTTTAGAGAAGTATTTATTTATATATCAGTTTAAATGCTTCATTTTGTTTTAATATTATATTATTATAATATAAAAACAAATGGAAGCATTTAAATAGACCTAATAGCTAAATATTTCCAAGAAAAGTGAATATGTGAGCTCTCCTTTATAGTAATCTAAACCTCCCTGAAACCCCTGTGGTGGAAGTGTGGAAGTGTAATTGTAAATCTCTCAGAGGTTTGTTACTGTTATGAGCCTGAGTCAGTTATTTCAACTTAATCAAGCCAATCTTCTTTAAAACATGATGAAGTTTTATATCACATGCCTTTTGCATGTCTGAGCAATATGTGTGGTATTTAGCATGTCCTGATTTTGCAGAGTTAGATGCGTTCCTGGTTCAACGTATTTTGTTGATCCTGGAACAACATTCCAGGCCGAAAATGTAGTCCTAACCCTTTCCCTAGCCCTAAACCTAACCCATAAGTTATCCCTACAATCAGAGGGAAATGACAACACTGATGTAGAAGCACCTAACCCTGGTTGTAAGCCTAAACTTGACAAACTATAAACGTGTCCCTCAAATCTGATTGGTTGATTGGAATGTTGTTCCAGGATCAACACAGATGTTGGTCCAGGAACATGTTGCACTTGGTGAAATCACGTTCTGTGGTATTTTTATAGCCTAGTTGTTATTGCTGTTGGCTTCATGCATTAGATTGTTAACTCAAAGGTTTAACAAGAAGTTCTTGCTAGGGGGTTGAATATTTTGAGGATACTTCGGTCTGTTCTGAACAATTAGGTTGTTTGAACTCTCTGACAGCTGTTTGTTCACTTTTTTTTTCTTTTTTTTTTCAGTTTTTGTCTTAGACCTGTTGTTAATTCATTGCCACATCAAATAATTTGGCATTTGATGCTTACCACTCACTTGCTTTCATCCCCCACCATCTGCACCCGCTGTTCCTCTTTAACCACTTCAAACCCGTCAGACATAGACATCAGACCTGTGATCTGATGCACACGTCATGAATAAAGCTCTAAAAAAAGAAGGGGCTTGTTTGAAGGATGAAAACCAAGGACAAAGAAACAGAGAAATACATGAGAGAAAATGGTGATAAGGATAGATGAGTCAGATTCGCTGTCCTTCTAATTCTGTTTTCTTTTTGTGTGTGTTCCTCTGGAGTTAGGGGCTTTCCTGTAACTTGAGCTTTCTCTCTCTCTTCTCTGTTTTGTATTTTCTCTCATTTCTTTCCCTCGTTTATCAGTCTGACAGTCCCATTCGACAGGAAAGAGGGTTGCTTGTTTCTGAGGTGTGACTAAGATTGGAAATATTCCTATATAGCAACCTTGAATTCCTGCTCTTGCAATTCCCCTTGTGGTACAAAACTTTTTCTTATGTTTTGTATTTGCATAAAGCTTTTTACATTTGTTTAAGGTGGAATACATTGATGCAATTGGAAGGCCTCCCACGCACAGTATTTACAACCATCCCTACTGTAGTAATTGATTACTTTCTCAAGGCAACATTACACTTGTTAGAGCCACACTTGTTAGTGGATAACTAGGTTTTTACATTTACTGAAGAAAACTGTGCTTGAACCAAAGAAAAGTCACTGCCACACTTCTAGATGGTTGCCAGGGTGTTGCACTGCAGTTGCTAAGATTTTGATAACCGTTTTAAAAGCATTGCTATGTGGTTGCTAGGGTGTTCTGCCATGTTGCTGGGTGGTTACAAGCAACACTGCATAATTTGAGGTATAATTCACATCTGTTGTGTAAACAGTGTGGGGTGAGTTGTGTGGAAATTGTATTTTATTTAGGGTTAGAGGTTGTTCTAATAGCAGAAATAGTGTGCTTGCCTTACAAAAAACAATAATAATTTATATAATACATTTAAATGCATTCAAGAAAGCAGTAAAATAATTTTGACCTTTTGAACATGAATAGAAAAACATCTTATGTATAGTGTTTTTCACTTTTTTCACTTTAACAACACGTGTGTATGTCTTGAGTGTACAGTCCAGCTAAAACAGAATAAAAAAGTACTTTTGAAACTTATAGTTTCATAGAAACTGTAGTTTTATCTGGAACCTTAATTTTTCCTAATGGCTTGATATCTTTTTGTTAAAGGTAGAAAAAGATTTTGCCCACACTCAAAAAAATGATATGTTGGCTTTACTTAACTTTTTTATGTAAACAGGTTCCACCGGTTCCACATAACTATGTTTCGTTAAACAAACATAATATGTTCATGTAACTTCAACATCATGGAATTTGGTCATTTTAAGCGACCCAATTAAACTCTGAGCTAATGAGTTAATTAAGTGAATAATTGAGTGATGATTGAGCATTATTGAAGACACCTGATGTTAACAAGCAGAATCTCTGAAGGAGAAAACCGGAATGTTTAAGTCACCATTATGGAGATAAGTGTGTGTTTTAGTTGGGCTCTTGACCATTAACTTATTAACTTTAGATTTTGTTTGGTTGCTGTACATGAGTTATAACAGCCGGATGAACAATGAGCTAAGGAGATCTGATGTTGTTGGTTGTGTTTTAACATAATCATTATTTCACAATCATTTGACCTCAATCACTGAACTTATATTGAACCCAATTTCTGAGTTAAGTTTACCTTACTGTCATTGTAGAGCATACTATTTTTAGCCTTTTCAATGAAATTCAAATGATCAAATCAAGAAATAAAAAATAAACTTCTTAAAAAATATCCTGAGTAGGCACACACAGACATCAAGAATCAGCATATGAATCTCAGCAATGGTGACAAACACATCATAAGCTCATTATTTATTCATGCAGCAATGCATGATGGGAGCCATGAATGAGTTTTGATTGGTGGCACCCAGAATGCACTGCAACATGCTTTATAATTGTCACCATTGTTGAGATTCACAGGCTGATTCTTGATGTCTGTGTGTGCCTACTCAAAATACTTTTTTAGGAAGTTTCTTTTTTATTTATTGATTTGATCATTTAAATTTCATTGAAAAGTCTAAAAACAGTATGCTCTACAATGACAGTGCTGCTATTAATCGTAAGGTAAACTTAACTCAGAAATTCGGTTTAGTGTAAGTTCAGTGACTCAGGTCAAATGATTGTGAAATAATGATTATGTTAAAACACAACCAACACCATCAGATGACCTTTGTTTATTGTTCATCCGGCTGTTATAACTCATATACAGCAACCAAACAAAATCTAAAGTTAATAAGTTAATGGTCAAGAGCCCAACTAAAACACACACTTATCTCCATAATGGTGACTTAAACATTCCGGTTTTCTCCTTCAGAGATTCTGCTTGTTAACATCAGGTGTCTTCAATAATGCTCAATCATCACTCAATTATTCACTTAATTAACTCATTAGCTCAGAGTTTAATTGGGTCGCTTAAAATGACCAAATTCCATGATGTTGAAGTTACATAAACATATTATGTTTGTTTAACGAAACATAGTTATGTGGAACCGGTGGAACCTGTTTACATAAAAAAGTTAAGTAAAGCCAACATATCATTTTTTTGAGTGCATAGTTTACTGACCATACAATTGTGTAATCATAAATTATGCTGTCAAGAGAGCTCTCAATTTACAGCCATGTCCTGCAGGCATGCCTAATGTTCCATATATTTTTTTAGAATAATAAGTCTGTTTTATTGTATATGTGCTGCTTTTCATCTCATGCTATCACATGTCAAAGATTGTGCTGACTGCACAGCTCATCAGCCAGGAAAGTGTGCCATGGCTTAATATGATTGGAACAGGATGGTTGGGGAAAGAGAGAGTTGTGATTCTATGGAAGGCGACAGTAAGAGGACAGGAAGGGTTAAACATGTGTTGGAGAGGCAGATTTTTAAGTCTGCTGGAATCTGGTTGCACCCACTACTAATGATAGGTCTGTCTCAGTGCCTGTTAGGACAGCTGTCCTGAGCTTACCTGAGCACCAGCCTATGTAAACACACACACACAAATCCCACTCCACCCTCATCTTATCCACCATACAAAGAGCAGTTCATTTAGTCATGGACACATTTTATGGGTGACCACAGGTGTTGATACATGGGACCCATTCTGAATATTCAATACATGATATCCCTCAACAGTGGATGGTGAATAGAACATGCCCTTAATGTGTAAATAAAAGCTTATTATAAATAATTAATTTTATTTCCCATTGCTTTAGAGACAGATTTAAACATCCTATGAAAGCATGTGCAGGTCACATTTCACCCCATAGCCAAAAGAAAACAAAATAAATTATATTAAGGCATATACTGTCCTATCAGCCAATTAAAGGCCTTTTAAACCATTCAAGAGCGATAAGACCCAAAAGAGATCTCAAATTGGTACTGCCACGCTGTCTGTGAAGCGGCTCTCTGTGCACGCACACACAGTAAGCAGCTACTCATACAGCGTGGCAGTACCAATTTGAGATCTCTTTAGCATCTAGCATCTTGAACAGACAAAAACATACAAAATGATGGCAAAATGGCCAGTCTTAAATGAGTTAAAAAACCTTAAATGAACGTAAACAGTTGAGAGAAAATCGGATACGATACGCGTTGTGTGCATAAGGTCTTTTAAATTGACAGCAGCCTAACATACCAGATGCATTCTGTGTAATTAATTTTAATCAAAGAACAAAAGACAAAGAGAAAATCACTAACTGCTCTTGACTGAATAACTTTTGCAGCTTTAATAAGTATTAATCTATATACTTTATACAGTGAAGACAATGGAGTGTTACTTTACATGTGATTACTTTATTAAATGAGGTCTTTCTTGCCTGAATTCTAATGTTCGGCCTACCTGAAAATCTTAAAGCGCTGTTTATTTAATTAGCATCTTTGTGCATAAATAAATAACCAGTAAAACCAGTAAAACTGTGTCTGGATGTTTTACTGGTTATTTTTTCTTTTTTTTTAAAGCAGTACAACAAATACTACATTGACTTTTTAAAATCTATTATTAGTAATATAATTTTATCATCTGTCAAGGTTTGACATGGTTAGTGTATTCCACCCATCCTCCTATCCTCTAGCAGACGACCAGCATTCTCTGATGGATCTCCATCATGTCAGCATCTGCTCTCAGAGTGACAACACTGAGCTTTCAGCAAAGGAAGTGCCGACAAACAAGTCCTGCCTTTAAAGTGGACCTATTATGCAAAATTCCCTTTTACATGGTGTTTGAACATACTGTGTTGACAGTGTGTGTACACAACCATCCTATAATGATAAAAAGTCCATCCACTCCTTTTTTAAATATCTATAAATCATAGTGCCTCGGAGTCGGAAAAAGCCGTTCGCAGATTCTGGGCAAAGTGACGTCACTTTGACAGGCCCCGCTCATGACTGTTTACGGACTCTGCTGTATTAGCATAGACCCTGCCCTGATCAAGTTGTACACTGTCCGCCATTTTCTCCAGGCTTGAACAGCTATGACAACAAGAATGTCTCGTAAGCAACTCAGGTGTTTTGTTGTTGGATGTAAGAGTGAACATAGCAGTCTTCATGTACTCCCGACATCAGAGCTGCTGAAGACGCAGTGGATTAGTTTTATTTTTGAAAGGAATGCGCCCCCACATGCCTAAAATCAGTGGTATAGTGCAGGGTATACGCAGGTATACGGCGTATACCCACTTATTTTTCAGTCGGCATTGCGTATACCCACTTCTAAATCCCCTCTGATGCGCATCATTTAGTTGCTAATCCAATCTCGTGAATAAAAAACACCCAGTCAGGGTCGTACCCCTAATATTAACTCTAATTTGTTGCAGCAATGATTCTTCCATCGCGACGATAACTGACCTCATCTGATCTGCTTCAGCACTCAAACACCCGCTCGTCAATGTCAAAATGTTTGAGACCAATCAAAGCATGCAGGATTTTTGTTCACAGAAGCGCGAGCCAAGCGCTAATCTTAACGCGACGCTTCACTTCAGTTAACGATCATACAGTGCGAAATAAGATGCAAGTAGCTAAAATATACGGCTGTTTTTCGATAGAAGTTTTAAATGACTGACAGAAATAATCAGTTTGATCAAAGACAGTGGAAACTATAAGCTCAATTTAACAACACAAGCACCCTATTAAATATATTGCCATTATTATTGTATAAATATATTTGTATAAGGTTTGAATGTGTTCGACTTTTCACTGTTTGTATCACTCCGCTTGTCTGTGTTTGCGCAACTTGCATCATTAAGCCAGAAGGCGGCGACAAGTGACTGTCTTTATGAGTGAGCAATTGAACCATTAATTGTCCAGATGAACAGATTAGTCCAAAAACATTGATTAATTTAGGAAAGAAAAAGTAGCTGAAACTGGAACTGATTCTCAAGTTTAAGAATCTGATCAAATACTTCATGCTTTTAAAGCTACTGTTGTCCATTTTTTTGGCCATCAAAACACCTTAAAATGCTCATGTCGAGATCAGGAAAATCAAAATTTTCTCTCTTGGGGGGGCTGCATACCCCCCGGGCCCCAACCCCTATCATTTATGGGACCTGGGTATTTAGAAAAACCCTGATATGCAAGAATACTAGTGATTCTATATGGTCTATTGTATTCATTATATTCTATATTCTACAGTCTTGCATATTCAATGCTAATGCAAGACTAGTCTTACGTCACTGTTTATAACAAAGAGCGTTAATCCTTTGCTGGGACGCTTAAAAAAAATATTGGGGGCATAAATTAAGAGTATACCCACTTCTCCATGCACCACTACATCACTGCCTAAAATAGTTTATGTCTGAGCGAATCATTTTACCCCAGACTGCTTTGTGAATGAGGGTCAATACAAAGGGACAATACAAAACACAGGTTTTGTTAAAAAGTTGTTACTCAAGAATGGATCAGTACTGTACCACCTATCGTTACGGATATAAAAAAAAAAATCAGTGCTTTGGTGGTTTATCTGACAATAAAAGTGGTCTGTTGTCTGAGCTATAAAATAACCATGAACTTTTCTTATTATTTCTCACTTTCTCTCTAGCTCAGAATGGCACAAAGCATCAGATGTTTTTTAACGTATCACAGATGAGACAGAGTATTCCGGACTACCGGCTGCTGTCTCAAGCCGAGTTACGGCTTCGGATTAAGAATCCCACCATGGACCAAGAGCAGAGGCTGGAACTGTATCATGGAGTAGGCGATCAGGCTCGATATCTGGGCACCCGCTTTGTCTCCAAGGATTTGTCCAATCGCTGGCTCTCGTTTGACGTGAAACAGACGATGACAGAATGGCTGCAGAGTTCAGGTAAGGTCATGGCTGCATTCAGCTAACATCAGTTGCAGTTTCCCAATAGCAGTTGATGACTACATTTAAAATAACCATCCTTAATTTGTGCTCTTGTGCTCACAAAAAAATTGGTTAAAACAGTCTACTTTTTCTTGACTGTCTATTGTGATAACTCAAAACCTCAGTGAGACAACAATGCAGGATACTGTTATTAATGCTGAGATTAGAAGAAATGAGCTATAACTGCTTATAGACAGTGCTTATTGCTACAGTTGTGGAACTTGTCCTCTGGGGCCATGTGCATAATCATAGTCATTATGTCACGACTGTGTCTTAAGAACTTTTATGACCAACTAGCAGTTAGTCAAGGGGCAATCAGTCTTAATTTTCGGTACCAAATTAGACCAACCTACGTTTTTCTGTAACTGACTTGAATTTTTTTTTAATGACTAACTTGTAAGATTGTAGCAGTCTATGCAACTAGTCCCTGGAAGACAGTTCTGGAACACAGATTTGTTTCTTGGCAGACTAAAGACATAAAGCGTTTACTACAGTTTTGCTGGAAATACTAAGTTTTAACTCTGTTCACTAGGGGTGTAACAAATTGTTGTTGATCTATGATCCAACTGTTGCTGTTGACCCCTGCCAGATTATTAGGGAGTTCAAATTCAGCACAAAAAGCTGTCCCACGGTTCGGAACGCGTGTGATTCGCAGATTATTTGGAAAGTATAACCATCATAGAGTAAAAGTTGATCATTTGCATGTGTTTTTAAGTCTGCCAATTTAAAAATTCAAGCGATTTTAAATAGCGATTCATTCAAGCTCAAGAAAATGCAAAAGAGAACTCAATTCAGCATTCGTGCACTATTTTCTGTGCGCACACACAGAGCCGTGAGACAGCACGTAAATTGAGTTCTTATTCTTGTATATATATTTTTGTGCTTACATGTCCAAACACCTTGTAAAAGTGAATTTTGCATAATATTGCTTAGGTGAACATTTTTTGGACTCAGAAGTGGTTACTGTTTGGGTGATGACAATGACAAACTCCATATTTTTATACACTGGAACTCTACTTTACCATGGTAATTTTTAAACAACGATCACATCAGTGTGATTAGCATGGTGTGTGATATATGTAATCATACTGCTCAATTCAATTCTGCTTTCACGCTTTAGCCAGAGAGAGACTCGCTCAGCAACACTTGTCATCCTATCACAACTGATCAGTGTTTTCAACACAAATAATGTTTATTTTTAGATATATAAACACACAAAAGTACTTCCCAAAATATTTATAGTTTTAAAAATAAACACCGGTGTCTATGGAAGTGCAATAATAATCAAGAAAAAACTTTTTAAACAAATTTGACAACTTGTTTTATTCACAACAGTCACACTTTGTTTAGGTCAGTATAAAGTTTGCTCAGTTTTTCTCCAAGGTCACTAGCAACTTAATTTCATGTCTCTGGAGAAAATGTCATATTATGCATAATCGTCATAATGACAGACTGCGACTCAAGTCGAGGGCTGAGGTGATTGAAGAGGATGCACAGGACATTTTTTGCTTCAGCTGGCCTTACAATCAGCCTTCAAATTTTAAATAATTTAAATAATGTAAATAACTTCCAAAAATGAGGATAGACATATCTACTGTGTATAGCTTTTTCAGGATTTATTTTTACTGGGGCACAGCAAAACTTTACTGGGCCTCGTGCCCCACTGTGTTACAATGTGCACCTATTAGAACAATGCTAATCTATTCTGTACTTCTATGAATTCTATTGAGAAACCATGAGAAAAAAGGTGAATAAAGACTGAGAGTCAATGTTCGGAAATGATGAATTATTGTTATGTTTTGAACTATGCTGTATAGCTGTGTGTTTGTTTACTCCTTAAATTGTGCACCGCTCTCCCCTACCTGTATTTCTGTACTTTTGCTGTGGTATCGAATAATTAAAGTGTTCTTTAAAGGGGTCATATAATGCCATTTTTGTACAAGCTAATATGATTCTTTAGGGTCTAAATTAAAAGTTTGTAATATACTTTAATTAAAAATTCTCATTACTATTGTAAGAAAACTGTTATTTTACCTGGTCAAAAACAGCTCTGTTTTCAGCACGCCGTTTCAGTGCATATGACTTTAAATGATCATGAGCTTTGCTCACCCCGCCCCTCTGTTCTGTGCGTACACGTTTGTAACACAATAACACAATAACCATAACGCGTTGTTCATTATAAACGTGGGATTATGAATTATATTGAGAACGTCGTACATAGAAAACATGCCGTAATGTACCCTGAGTGTAAACCTTAGACTCATTCATCGTGAAGCGTGCAAGCGATTTGCAAAGATATAAATATTAATATAAAGGTTAATAAAACGTTACACTCACTTCAGTTGTTCTAGAGGTTCAGCAGGAACACGAATAGCTGGTACCGATCCTTTTTTCATGAGCAGCTTCTTAGCAAAACCAGCTTTATACTGATCCTCGTTTATAAAGCAGTCTGCTGAGAAATGATTCGCGCAAACATGAGAGCATTGACGTTGCTCGTGGGGAATATTCCCTTCGAAAACAAACTCAGCCACTGCGTCTTAAGCGGTTCGGATTTAGGAACATTAAAATGACTGCTGTGTTCGTTATTGCACCCAAGAACAGAACACCAATCGCTTAGACGCCATTCTGCTCATAGACAGTGCTCCAGCATATCAACAATGACAGCGCCGGTCCGCGCAGACTATGATTGACAGCTGGCTCACGAGCGAGGGCGGTTCTGTGTTGAAACCTGGCTGTCAATCAACAATCGCGGGAGGGGCGTCCGACCGTGTGACGTCACACGGTCGAACGGCTCGATTTGAGGCAGGGGAAAACATATAAGGAGATTAAAACAAAAACACTGGATGGATTTTTATCATTATATGATGGTTGTGTACAGGCACTGCCAACACACATTTCAGTACAATCAACTTGAAAAAGTGCATGTACCATTATATGACCCCTTTAAATGATAAATGGAAAGCAAAGTTATATTTGTAAACCCTACATAATTCATCTTAAATAGACTTTTTAGATGGAGTGACTAATTTTTATTTACCCATTTTTTTCTTTCTTTGATGTTAGGGCAGCTACACTAGCAGTTGTATTATGTGTTACATATACAGCAGACTCCAAAATCCAAATATTCTTGTGTGTGTGTGTATGTTTAACAGAAGATGAAGAAAGTTTAGAAGTGAGGTTATACTGTGGCTGTAAGACAGGCCTGCAGAGTACAGATAAATTCCTCTTCACTATATCAGGTAAAATAATCTCAATAATCTGAAACATAGTGTTGGAAATGTATGCCAAAAGAATCCAAAACTGACATAATCTTTCATCTTTTTCTGTGTGTATATGTGCATATTTATAGGACTAGACAAACAGAGAGGTGACACTGCCAGTCTGGCAGAAATGATGGTGAAGCCTTACATTTTGGCTTTATCCTTGCCGTCTAATGGCAACTCCCTTGCATCCGCTCGCAGGAAACGAGATGTTGGCACTGATGTAACTTGTGATGAGTAAGTCTCTTTGCTCTTTTTCACCTTTTATGCTTTGTTATGTTTAGATACAGAACAAGAAAATAAATAGCAAATACCTAAACACTTATACTCTTCTCATGTTGACCAAATGTCGGAATCAGAGGTGGACAAAGTACACAACTTCCAGAGTGAAAGTACAGATACTACTGGTCAAATATTACTCCGTTACAAAAGTAAAGTTGTAAAGACAGATTTTTACTTAAGTAAAAGTACAGAAGTACTTGTTTTTAAAAGTACTTATGTAAAAAGTACATTTCAATGCATTGTTTTATTATTGTTGCATTGTTGTATGTAATAGTTACAGTACCTTTTATATCTCTGATCTATGCCTGCATACATACCTACCCTCATATCAATATCAAATTTATTTCTAGAACACAGTTGCAGTAGTGGGATTGAATGTGAGATTGAATAAGTGCACTCAATAATTTCCACAATGGTTTCGGACACCCAAATGGCTGTTCCCTCAAATAGGGCCCTATTTAAAGTTTTTTGGCTTATAGTATGAATATGTTAGCCTTACTGTTATCTATAAGCTAGTGTGCTCCAAAACAATGACAATTTTCGCATTTAGAAGACCAAACCCAATGTTGACAATGAAAATCAGGTTGATGTCAGAATCCAACGCCAGATTGACATTAATCTCCAACGTTGGACAGACGTTGTATTGTGGTTGAAAATGAAAATCGTGACTTTCATTTCCAACCAAAATCCAACATCTGTCCGACGTTAGATGCTGACGTCAATCCGACGTTGGGTTCTGACGTCAATCTAACGTCGTCAACCCGACTTTCATTTCCAACCAAAATGCAACCCCTGCAACCAAAATCATCCCTTGACTGACGTTACTTGTTAAATGATCAGAAAGACCAATATCAACAGAAGACAGCTGAGACACAAATGAATCATTTGCAATCACATGGTCTAAAGTAGGGATGGGACGATTACCGGTTTCACGATAAACCACGATAAAATGTCCTGGCGGTTAGTATTATCGTTTAAAATTTAATTATCATAAAAACCGTGTTTGATTATCGTGATTTTGAAAACTCGCGGTAAATCCTGTCCAGCCAGAATCAGTCTGACGCAAGCGCGAGCAGGCGAGCAGATGCAATGTTGTTTTTTTGACATGACATGGCGGAGGGCAGTGACAGCGCACGGGAGATTTTTCAGCCATCCAAGAGGACAAAATCGGAGGTATGGTCGTATTTTGGCTATTACAAGAGTCCCGAGGGCAATTTAATCGAGGATGGGCACCCTGTCTGCAAATCTTGCAAGAGGAAATTCGCTGCAAAAGGGGGAAACAGGTCATCTAACGTTACGTGACAACCACCCACTGAGTTAATTTTTACCTTAATACCACAACTAACTTGGGCAAATAATTAAACAAAAAATGTATTGGAGATGAATTATTTCATTATCTCACTTGTAATTATTGCAAAGCTTCCGCGAAGAGAAAAGTTTTACAGCAAGTGGATTTGAGCCAAGACGAACGAACATATTCAAACTATTAAAGCTGCAGTAGGGAGTTTTGAGAAAACGTTGACTTAGCCTGAAAATTTGAACAAGCACAACTTACAGGTCCCACCCCCTTGCTCTCTGCTGCGCTACAGCCCTCCCTCCACAGCTCGTACTCCACAGCGGAGCCTGTCGTGAACGCGCAGGCTAGTAAACAGGCCCACCGATGACGGTGGATAAAAAGTTATATGGCACATTCACTAATAGGGACTAAACGTCAACAATATGCTTTACATTGACTATGGCCTGCCCATACTTTGACTACAAACTTGGTCCTCAAATCATTATGTATTTTGCAATAGCCTACATGTAACTTTATAACGTTGCACTCTTTCTATAAGTTATAAATAGCTAGTAAGATAACGTTAATATAACGGTAACTAACGTTACAGTATGTAAGTAATTATTCTAGCGATATATAATGCTAGATAAGGTGTGCTAGTACATTATTTCAGCAACATGACAAGCCAGTGAATTAGCAGGTTTCAATTGTTGCTTAGCAGAGTGCGTGACATTTTATCTACATGTTATGCGGCTAGAGTTTTGACACCGAGTCAATGGGCTCTGTGTAATTCTTTCTTTTTCGCTTGTTTATCGTCATCAGTCTTTTTCCTTTTACCTCTTTGTTTTATGAGCAGGTGTCACTCGAGAATTGGCAGTTTAGGTTGTTTCTCCGTCATAAGCACAGCTGCAGCTCGCCGGCAATCTTGAGTTTGAACGACGGCTCGCGCTCCGGCGCTCGCGCTGTGCAAGAGAGGGGTGTGATCAGCGCGTACACGAGCGTGACTGACACTGCTAAGACACTCCTCCCGGCTCTGATTGGTTGTTTCTGACCGGGAGCGTGTATTTCTTGCAAATGGCAATAGGACCACTGGGAGGAGCCAGAGGAGCTTGATTTTTACACAGATTATCTGTCTCATATTCTACTGTCAGGACATAATGACATTTTTAGCAAATACATTTTTTCAAAAGTTACCTACAGCAGCTTTAAGGGTGACATTTAAAGGATAATGTATTGTATTCATTCATAGTAAACTTATTACAGTTTTATTTTTTTATTTTTTACCACAGAAATAATTTCAGGGACATGAATTATTGAATTGTGATTAACTTAATGTTTTTAAATCTTACCGGTTTATAAATCCATTATACAAGTTACGGTGTCCAAATCAATCGTAAAGTAAATGTGATCACTACAACAATATTGTAGTAGTATTAATACTAAATTACTCTGATTTAATTTTCAATACAATCAAAACTGAGACGCAAGACATACACATTTGAATGAAACCAGAGATTGCGTCCGCGGTGATCCGAGACATGGATGTGCGCTGTGTAGTGCGTTGCTATTTACAACAGTCATTATAAGTATGCCAGTAGTTTAGTCACCCTGACCCAACCAACATATTTTGTTCATTTAAAGTGTGTGTGCGTGCGTGTGTGTGTGTGAGAGAGAGAGAAAGTGATTTATTATTTATTAATAATAATAATATTCAGTCACACACATCCATAAGTGTTATTATCATTATTAATGATAGGGTTTAATGACGGGTTCATTAAAACCTGCACTAGGAAAACTTATACCTCTCACTCTCAGGGCTCCATGTTAATGTTAATATAATGTTGATGCTTAAAAAAGTGCATATTACTGCTAATTGTATTTTTTGTTTGTTGATTTTCAAATGTTTTCAGGGTGAGCATCAGTTCTTTTTGAACATTTCCATCTCATTTTAACAAAACCGTGATAATATTGATAATCGTGATAACTTTGGTCACTATAATCGTGATATGAAATTTTCATACCGTCCCATCCCTAGTCTAAAGTATGACCTTTGTTGTGTGTTTGGCCACTAATAAACTGTGTAAGATTAAAACAATCCAGTAAAAATAAAAAGTCCTTTGTCATCATTGTGGTCTATGTGTACATTAAAATTTCCCAAAATAAGGATTCTCTTGTTTACCAACACAACATTGACAACAAGTCAGCAAACTCTTCATTTGCCTTTGGTGGTCGATAGACGGTAGCGATGATAGTTGCTTTAGAGGCAGAAAGACTCAACACAAGGCATTCAAATGATGTAAACTGTTGTACACACACAGTGCTGATGTTAAATAGCAGTTTGTGTACCACAATAATCCCCCCACCTCTGCAAGTGAGTCGCGGGAGATCAAACAGCCCATAGCCCTCTAATCTGGTTAAAGACAAGTCCATCATTTTGTTTGTGCCATGTTTCGGTTAAAAACAATAGGTCCAGTTTTCTATCTGCAATGATGTACGATAAAAGTAGAGCCTTGTTGTTTACTGAGTGTGCATCAAATAAAGCAGCATTTACTGGGCTCTAGGACAGCACAGAAGGTAGCTCCGATCGAACAAGAGAAGATAAATTACTGTGGACCGCACCAGTATGTGACACTTTTTTAGTCTGACGCCGACTCTTAGTAACACAGATGTTTGAAGAAGAACAAGAAGGAAGGCTGTAACTGCATCCAAAACTCACCTAAAGGATTATTAGGAACACCATACTAATACTGTGTTTGACCCCCTTTCGGCTTCAGAACTGCCTTAATTGTACGTGGCATTGATTCAACAAGGTGCTGAAAGCATTCTTTAGAAATGTTGGCCCATATTGATAGGATAGCATCTTGCAGTTGATGGAGATTTGTGGGATGCACATCCAGGGCACGAAGCTCCCGTTCCACCACATCCCAACGATGCTCTATTGGGTTGAGATCTGGTGACTGTGGGGGCCATTTTAGTACAGTGAACTCATTGTCATGTTCAAGAAACCAATTTGAAATGATTCGAGCTTTGTGACATGGTGCATTATCCTGCTAGAAGTAGCCATCAAAGGATGGGTACATGGTGGCCATAAAGGGATGGACATGGTCAGAAACAATGCTCAGGTAGGCCGTGGCATTTAAACGATGCCCAATTGGCACTAAGGGGCCTAAAGTGTGCCAAGAAAACATCCCCCACACCATAACACCACCACCACCAGCCTGCACAGTGGTAACAAGGCATGATGGATCCATGTTCTCATTCTGTTTACGCCAAATTCTGACTCTACCATCTGAATGTCTCAACAGAAATCGAGACTCATCAGACCAGTCAACACTTTTCCAGTCTTCAACTGTCCAATTTTGGTGAGCTCTTGCAAATTGTAGCCTCTTTTTTCTATTTTTAGTGGAGATGAGTGGTACCCGGTGGGGTCTTCTGCTGTTGTAGCCCATCCACCTCAAGGTTGTGCGTGTTGTGGCTTCACAAATGCTTTGCTGCATACCTCGGTTGTAACGAGTGGTTATTTCAGTCAAAGTTGCTCTTCTATCAGCTTGAATCAGTCGGCCCATTCTCCTCTGACCTCTAGCATCAACAAGGCATTTTTGCCCACAGGACTGCCGGATACTGGATGTTTTTCCCTTTTCACACCATTCTTTGTAAACCCTAGAAATGGTTGTCCGTGGAAATCCCAGTAACTGAGCAGATTGTGAAATACTCAGACCGGCCCGTCTGGCACCAACAACCATGCCACGCTCAAAATTGCTTAAATCACCTTTCTTTCCCATTCTGACATTCAGTTTGGAGTTCAGGAGATTGTCTTGACCAGGACCACACCCCTAAATGCATTGAAGCAACTGCCATGTGATTGGTTGATTAGATAATTGCATTAATGAGAAATTGAACAGGTGTTCCTAATAATCCTTTAGGTGAGTGTATATACCGCCTTCGTCTCAACAGGCTCATAAGTTCAAGTTCATAAGCGTCTTTTTGCAAACGATAGTTCTGTTTTAAGTTTAACAGCTTGTGTGCGGTGTCCCTTAAAGCCATGCTCCGTGAGTCCAGGACCACAGCAGTCCCAAGGCAGTGTAAATTATCAGTATTGCCACAGGGTAAACTCCTCCGATGAAGCTCCTGAGTTCTCCAGAGAATGCAGACAAATAGGAGCAAAGATCCTAAATGTGTGCAATAGTCCCACCACATTGCAAGTGTGAATGACTTGATAACTAAAAACAGCAGAATTACAGAACCCGCGTTAACATTAAAACAAACAATCAAACAAACAAACAAACAAACAAACCGTGAGAAGAGCGGCAGCCAAAACGCGCCATCGTACCCAATGAACTGGAAGATGTTTCAAATTTTCTCTTTATTGAGTGGTTACTTTATCTCTCACTAACTCTAAAACCATTTCTGCTCAGTAATATTTTGTCTATGAAGGAGATCCAGTTTTAAATGATACATTTTAAATGATCAGAGCTTATAGACAGAACAGAAAAGTCTTTATTAGCAGCAGTTTGATCAAGTAACTTCTTCAGGGATTATAAATTTAAAATATAAATTAGCCAATAAGATGATTTTCATTTTATTTGATTTTCTCTTTATTGAGTGGTTACTGAGTGGTATGTTAGTTCTCTCACTTCCTCTAAAACAATCTGTTCTCACATAATAACTCAATTCTTCATATAGTTTGAGCTGAAATATATGTTAAACTGAAGAAAATAGAAATAGTTCATTTTAATTAAAAAAATATATTTAGTTTATAAGCTTGCACAGCGGTGTCCCTACATAATACATTTTTGAATGCTTAAATACATTTTTAACAGGACTTCAAAGAGTCAAATAGACCACGAAATAGATTCCAGTCCAACTGCTGTTCACACAACTGGATAATAAAAAAAACAAAAAACACCGCCACAAAATTATACATTGCAATTCCAGCCTGGGGGGAAAAACTGAATAGGGTGACTAATTCAATAACTCAACCCCCTGTCAATTATTTCTATCTAATAATGAGGTGTAACTGACTTAAGCAAGAGCCACTGAACACACAACAAGATAAAATCCCTCCTTTCCAATATTCTCTGACAGAAAAACGGAGACCTGCTGTATGCGTAAGCTTTACATTGACTTTCGGCAAGATCTGGGCTGGAAGTGGATCCACAAGCCTAAAGGATACTATGCTAACTACTGCATGGGCTCCTGCACCTACATCTGGAATGCTGAGAACAAATACTCTCAGGTAGGGTGTTGTTTTCCACCCCTGTCCCACTTGACAAATGATACAACATATAATTTCAATTAATTTAATTACTTTATAAATCACAAAAAAACAAAAACAATAGTTGACCACTGTGCGGTGCAGAAAATAAGTCTAATATATAGAGAAAAAATGCACATAATGTATATAAAAGTATGAACAGTACTTCGCCAGTAAGTGTTTAGCAAAAGTTACAGAATGCCAGTGTCTGGACATAGCATGGCCCAAGTGAATTTGGCTTTTAGAAGTTTTCTGCACTGAAATGTTTTGTGGAAAATCTGCACAGTGCAAATTATGCAGACCTAAACATTATTACTGGACTTAACATTTATACCTGTGGGAGCTGCAGCTTCATACCACTCAGTTTTCTTTACCTGGACAAGTTGAAAGAAATCCTTTAACTCATGAATAACATTCTCTGGTGCTGTTCAAAGACTTGTGCCAATATTAGACTAAAATAGTGTACAGGCACACTATGAAAATACACCAGAAAAGTATGTCATACCAGTTACTTGATAGGATTAATATTTGCAACATGATTTGGTATGCACTATGTCTAATCTTTAATACTATTTAGAACAGAAAACAGCATGTTTCGTTTTCCTGCCTGAATCATTTTTAGAGCAAGAATACACAACACCACTTTAAAAAAGAGTTGCAACCGTGGCTATGTAGAGTATGTTAGTTCATTTACAATGCACAGATAGTATCCAGAGGTACATTTGAGGTCAAGAGTTGGCAATGTAGAGAAAACAAGTTTTGAATGACTAGTTACCCCAAGGGCTGAAATGCTATACACTTTACGTCACTGTAATGTTCTTTCTTTTTTAGCTTTTAAGTTTTGCCTATGCGAGCTTCAAATTTCACCAGGTTTTATTATGAAACTTGTTGTCTTTGTTAGAAAAGAAAACAGATCATACCTGAGGATCCTGACTGTTTTTAATGTGTGAGCTGCCTGAGATAATGTCCTTAAAGGGTTAGTTCACCCAAAAATGAAAATTATGTCATTAATGACTCACCCTAGCCCCAAGCCCGTAAGACCTCCGTTCATCTTCGGAACACAGTTTAAGATATTTTAGATTTAGTCCGAGAGATTTCTGTCCCTCCATTAAAAATGTATACACGGTATACTGTCCTTGGTAAGTTGGCCGGCTCCGATAATAACAAGTGCACATGAGCAGCGGTAGAAAGCGGGAGGAAGGTGCCACAAGTGAGTTTTTTTATGACAGTGTTGTGAAAATATATGCCGCACAGCTGTAGGGGGAGCTCGATGAGAAAACATGCGACAACAAAAGTGAAAATCAGCGAAGAAATGACTAGAGTTGCCAAGTTCCCCTTTAAAGGGACAGGCAGGCCTTTAGTGCGGCCACCAAAGTACACAAAAAGCTGATCAGAGGGTCTAAACTGTCTGGTGCACTCAATATAAATGCACAAAGCGCATACAGGGCAAAGCATTTGTGGAAGGAGGTCCTCATCTGCTGTGGGGTTGTCACCCTGAGCCCCGAATGGCGTTGAGAGCACCTTATGCACATAACCATTCCTTGGATTAAGAATGACCATATGGTCATTAGGGCCGAAATCTATGCAAGACTCGCTGACTGGGAGAGCTTGCATATCACCTACTCGCTTAACAGAAGCGAGCGCAAGCAAAAGTGGCGTCTTGTCGGAGCTGATAGCCTAGTGGGCAGAGCTCCGACATATAGCGTTGTTGCACTTCGGGCTACTTGTGGACCATTCCGATCCCGTTCCCCTCTCTCTCTCTCACTTCGCTTCCTGTCTACTCACTGTCCCATCATAATAAAGGCAAAAATGCTGTCTTAAAGGAGAGCACTTTCAAAGGAGCTGATTAAAGCGACTTTAAGGAATAGCAAGCCCTGGTTCTCAAACCTAGAGCGAAATCCGAAGTGGGAATGGTAGATGGACCAATGCGGCCACATACACTTTTACACACAAGGCTGTGTGGGCCATTTCGGCGCAACTTGCAGCACTGACTCCTTTTCCTCCCTGATTTTGCACAGCACTTGGTGCAGAATTTTCACTGGGAGAAACGCGTATTTGCGCGCTTTTGGTCAGCGGTGAGTGAGCGCATCCACTCCCAGTGTGGAGTGCTCCGCTAGGGAGAAAATCAGTGGACAGAGTTCTCTACTGATGCGAAGAGGTCGACTTCCGCTGATCTAAATATGCTCCATATCATATTCACTGTCTGAGGGTGTAGCCTCCATTCTTCTTGGGCTACCCTGTGTCTCTACAGCATGTCCGGGCGCAGTTGAGATGGTTAAGGAGATGAACAGCTTGAGTAGATAGGAGATGCTGGTCTGCCCACATCAACAGGCTCGTTGCGAGCGTGAGAAGAGGGTGAGAATGGAAATAGGAACGTTGTGGCCGAAAGTCCTTGGGCTCTGCCTGAGTGCGCGGTTTTGAAGCATGGGTCGGCCGCGTTCTGGAGGAGCACTGGGCGGACGATGCTAATAGCTCTTTATTGTTTTTTGCGCCTGTGAATCACTCACCAAGGGATTCAACAACTTCCCACTGGGATTCATCCCACTCAGGTGGACAGCCTTCTCTGCGCCCTTCAAGGCAACTCGAATACGAATGGAATGGAATGGCCGAAGGATCTTGGTAGCTCGCAGGGTCAAGCTGGTGGCACTGCAAAGCTCTCTGAAGATCTCTGGGTCAGGGCCATCCTCGTCGAGATGCTTCAGCATCTTTGCTTGGAAAACCTGCGGGACAGCTATCGAGTGGAGGCCTGACACTGCCTGGCCCACCACTGCATACACTTTCCAAGTGATGCTAGCAGTGGTGCAACATGGCTTGTATGGGTGCGCGACAGAGGACTTCACTTTGAGTGATGCAGAGGGGCAGAGGTGAGCGGCAATAGCTTCCTCGACTGGGGGAATCTTGGAGTACCCCAGCAGGTCGCCGCCATCCACTGCCGCGAGAAGCGGCAAACCCGATATGTGAGCATGAGCTGAGTCGGGGCATGCCACATCTTGGGAATCTTGTTGTGCACTTCAGGGATTTAGCCTGCTGTGCTCTGGATCAGCAGGAGGAGACCATTCCAAGTCGAGCTCTTCAACTGCCTTGGAGATTATGCGAATAAACTCATCATCAATATGGCCAGAGGACTCAAAATGGCTGGCCAACTAGTCCTCTGACTCAGAAGCTGCTGTTGACATGGGCATTATCACACTCTCTATCTTCTGAAGCAGTGAATGAGACAAGGGTTGTGAGCCCTGGATGGCGCAAAAGTTTCCTGCTACTTCTCTGTGGCTCTGTTGAAGCGGCAGAGGGGAGCTATCCTTCTCTGGAGAGTCTTAAGCTCATCACGTCGCAATGAGGGCAGCTGGGCACCTCAGTGGCCACCTCCTTGTGCATGTGACCCAGGCACACAATGCACATATAGTGATTGTCTGGGAGCTCTATGCGTGCCACACATGTGATGCAAAATTTGAAGCTCATCTTCTTTGAATTTTGCTGGAACACTCAAGGGGATTCTTGAAGTAATCCACTTTTTGTGAAGACTCAACAACAAACGAGAGGCTTCTGTCTTGCCTCCATTTGTGCGCTTGAGTGCCATCGGCTATTGCAGGGCTTTGGGCGAACCAGGCTTCAGTATTCTCAGGAGAAAGGTGTTTCCCCATAGTGTCAGCAAAGCTGTGTACAATGTTGAGAGACCATCTTGAAAGGGAACTGAACCTTACGCCCACACACACACACACACACACACACACACACACACACACACACACAAAGATTAAGCAAACAGTTTTACACCACTTCCCTATAATAATAAAAAATTAGTAGGCACTGTATGTTCAGACTTTTTTACTAATGTACCTTTGTGTCATTAGCCAGAGACCAGTAAGATATTACAGGGATACTCACAGCTAGCTATTCTTTTAAATGCTTTTTAATATTTGGACTGGTTGTATCAATAAGGATTAAATCAAGCAGTTAGATTAAATTTAGACTTAATCAAGTATTTTTGGGTTAGATTTAATTTTTATTTGAGTTTTCACTGTACATTTTTTTTACATTTTAATTTGTATATATTCTACCAATTATACAACTTCATCTGATTATCAAAATGCCATTATGTAATGTCAACTTTACCTATGAATAGGCTACTAATCAGACCATGTGAATGAGTGAACAGGTAACTGATATGTTAAAGTCTCTCACTTTAGTATAAATCACTTTCAGCTCACTACTGAGTTAACTTCATATTTTACCATTTTGTGCACTTATTTTACAGTGTGTAAAATAAGACATGCGTTGCTTCTCTTTTTCATTGTAGTATTGGTATGTGTATTTGTTTCACACAGATATTAGCCTTGTACAAACACCACAACCCTGGTGCATCTGCTCAGCCATGCTGCGTACCTGCAGTCTTTGACCCTCTACCAATTCTTTACTATGTGGGAAGACAACACAAGGTAAATGCCTCTTTTGCCTTTTTTAATGGCTTATTTTGAATTCATGCAATGGAGGAACTCTTCATGGATACCATTACGAAACAAAAATATATGTAAATGCAAAATATAATGCGATATATTACATAATAAATTTCCATATATGGGAAACTAGTGCTTATATTTTTCAATATACTACAATATATGCATTGACCATGTATGGCTATATTGATGCATATAAAATGTAGAAATGAAGACAAAAATAGCATTACATGTAATATTCATAATGTTTTATCCTTTTGCATATATATGTTCCCATATTAATGTTAATGTTAATGTTTGTACGCACATACACATTCACAGAATGATTTACAACAGATATAGTCCAGGTGATATGTGAAAATTATGTTAACTTTTTCATAAAAGCATGAAACTTGGTACACATGTACAGTTTGCGGCCCTGGACATTTTCAGAAATGGAGCCATCGCAAAAACGCCTCGTGCTTTCCGCCATAACTGAATTATATATTTTGTATTATATATCCTGAACCAAACATGATAACAGGAAAGTGTGATGTCTACCCCTATGTTTTGATGGTCAAGGATTACAATGATACCATATACAACATCATAAAATGTTCAGGTGAATAGTTAATGGTGAATTCAGTGACATTATGAGAAGGATTACAATGAAATCGCAGTATCTGAGAATATCATCTGAAGCTGGGGCCACATTAAAAGATTTTTAAAATCTTATAATTTTTTTTCAAAATGTGAGAGACCACAAACATGACGATAAAAAAATCATAGATTTATCCGTTTTGTTCCTCTATAGTGTGGAGTGCCACGAATGTGACCAGGAAAGCACACCACACACTAACAGATTCCATTCACAGACAACAGAGTGCCGCCTGTGAACACGGGAAATCCTGCAAAATCTCTCGCATCAAACGTGACTTTAAAGTAAACAAACATGTCAGAGGGGTCGAGGCCGGGTTTCTTTAGGACAGGAGTGACAGCAGCAGTTTTTAATTTCAGAGGAACAGAACTAGTACTTAGTAGTTGGGAGATGAGAAGTGAAATCGGCAGAGAAATAACAGGTGCACATTTTTTAAGTAAAGTAGTAGGAGCGGGATCAAGATGACAGGAAGATGCGTTTGCTTTTTTGATTAGCTCAGAGATATAAGCAATGGGTTGGGGTGGCAAAATCAGTGAGAGTACCAGGTGGAAAAGCAGTAGGAAAGTCGTGTGTGGAGACAGGAGAGATCATGGATGGGAAATGATTGTGAATGCTATAAATTTTATTTAGAAAGAAATGCAGGAATGACTCACAGAGGTCTGCTGAGTTACTAATGACAGGAGGGTTCACTCAAAAAAATGATATGTTTGCTTTATTAAACTTTTTTATGTAAACAGGTTCCACCGGTTCCACATAACTATGTTTCGTTAAACAAACATAATATGTTCATGTAACTTCAACATCATGGAATTTGGTCATTTTAAGCGACCCAATTAAACTCTGAGCTAATGAGTTAATTAAGTGAATAACTGAGTGATGATTGAGCATTATTGAAGACACCTGATGTTAACAAGCAGAATCTCTGGAGGAGAAAACCGGAATGTTTAAGTCACCATTATGGAGATAAGTGTGTGTTTTAGTTGGGCTCTTGACCATTAACTTATTAACTTTAGATTTTGTTTGGTTGCTGTACATGAGTTATAACAGCCAGATGAACAATGAACTGAGGAGATCTGATGGTGTTGGTTGTGATTTAACATAATCATTATTTCACAATCATTTGACCTCAATCACTGAACTTATATTGAACCCTATTTCTGAGTTAAGTTTACCTTACTGTCATTGTAGAGCATACTATTTTTAGCCTTTTCAATGAAATTCAAATGATCAAGTCAATAAATAAAAAATAAACTTCTTAAAAAATATCCTGAGTAGGCACACACAGACATCAAGAATCAGCATATGAATCTCAGCAATGGTGACAAACAGATCATAAGCTCATTATTTATTCATGCAGCAATGCATGATGGGAGCCATGAATGAGTTTTGATTGGTGGCACCCAGAATGCACTGCAACATGCTTTATAATTGTCACCATTGTTGAGATTCACAGGCTGATTCTTGATGTCTGTGTGTGCCTATTTAAAATATTTTTTTTAGGAAGTTTCTTTTTTATTTATTTATTTGATCATTTAAATTTCATTGAAAAGTCTAAAAATAGTATGCTCTACAATGACAGTGCTGCTATTATTCGTAAGGTAAACTTAACTCAGAAATTTGGTTTAATATAAGTTCAGTGACTCAGGTCAAATGATTGTGAAATAATGATTATGTTAAAACACAACCAACACCATCAGATGACCTTTGTTTATTGTTCATCCGGCTGTTATAACTCATGTACAGCAACCAAACAAAATATAAAGTTAATAAGTTAATGGTTAAGAGCCCAACTAAAACAAATACTTATCTCCATAATGGTGACTTAAACATTCCGGTTTTCTCCTTTAGAGATTCTGCTTGTTAACATCAGGTGTCTTCAACAATGCTCAATCATCACTCAGTTATTCACTTAATTAACTCATTAGCTCAGAGTTTAATTGGGTCGCTTAAAATGACCAAATTCCATGATGTTGAAGTTACATGAACATATTATGTTTGTTTAACGAAACATAGTTATGTGGAACCGGTGGAACCTGTTTACATAAAAAAGTTAAGTAAAGCCAACATATCATTTTTTTGAGTGTTGGTGAGTTTATTGACTACAGAAAAGAGTGCTTTAGGTCGAGAGGATGCATTATTAATAATAGTAGAGTAGTAACTAGAGTGTGCAGTGTTTATAGCAGATTTGTACAACTGGATATGGTCAGTGTAAGCAGTAAGGTGAACGGTCAAACCAGTTTTCCTGTAAAGACGACGACCAGCTGTTTTTAGAGGCAGTAATGGACAGAAATGCCTAAATACAGTAGTTTGTTTAGGCATGGTTTGTAGGGAATTACAAGCCTGTGCACATATATTCAAATGCACATAACTATAGAATAAATTCTTAATGCGCAAGTGAACGCCATCAGCGTTTATCATAGGTTCGCGTTTAAAGTCTGTTTAGAGAGAACGGTGTCGTCTTAGCGGCCCCTAATTTAATAACAAATGATCATTTCGACGGAAGTGAATCAATCAAAACTAACTTTAGCTGGAAAATAACATTATTCAAGAACCGCTATAAAACCAAACCAATCTCTGTTACCTTGAATTATATGTTTATCTCTGTAAAGCTGCTTTGAAACAATCTACATTGTTAAAAGCGCTATGTAAATGAGGATGACTTGACTTGACTTGACTTTAGATTGCGAAGTGCAGGGGTAAACCAGGGAGACGCGTGTGTAGAAGGTACAACTCTACTTTTAAGAGGGGCATGTATATTAAGGGCAGTGGAAATACAGGCATTATATTTGGTAAGGATATTGAGAGAGCTAGTGTGTTCAGTAATATCAGAGAGATGAGTTTGTACAGATTCAGAAACAGTAAAGGATTAACAGAATTGAGGTTACGGAGGATTTCACCCTGAGGCGGGGAAGAGGCATTTCACAGTTTAGTTCGATGAGGAGGTGATCAGACAGTCCAATTTGAGATCCAAGCACGGAAACATTATGTAGACCAGCAGTGCAGACAAGATCCAGTGTGTGTCCTTTTGAGTGTGTAGCAAAATCGACATGTTGTACAAGATTGAAACATTCAAATAATGACAAGTGTTCACGCGATTCTGCACAAACAGTATCAACATGTATGTTGAAATCACCAAGTAATATAACACAAAGAGGATAAGGCAGAGGAAAGGGTTAACAGTTCATGCAGGTCACTGAAGAAATTTGAGATGGCTTTACACAGCAAAATCCCCAGTGTTAAATTAACACTCCTGGTGTACATATAGGTCCAACTACAGGGTGTTAAAAATTAACACTGAAGCACTGTTGAAGTTAATGAGATAATTAAGTGATTAATTAATTGATGATTGGCCATTAGTGGTGACACCTAATGTTAATAAGAATCATTGAAGGAAAGAGAAACAACAAGAACAGAAAAAAAGAGAAACACAAGAACTACTGATTTCGAGCCATTACACATTATTGCACTTATAGACAGAAGTGTTTTATGGAATTTTTCATTTCAAGTCACCATTATGATGGTCAGTGTTTGCTTTAGTTGAGCTCTTGACCCTTTTTTTATTGTTAGATTTTCTCCGTTTGTTCAAACATTGTGTTTATGGAGCACATTTGTTACTGCAAGAGAAAACCTGCACACAATTTGTTTTGATTATAACATTATCCTCATGTTGTAACCTGATTCATGTTCAGAGTCTAAATATTTTACTATATGCTTAATGTCTAATTTTAGCATTGGTGACGGTAGCCCTGAGATTCTACAGTTTGAGCTCCAACAGCAATATGAACAATTTTGAAAATACTTTGTGCACAGAAGCTATTGTGTTTGGACACACAGACATCAAGAATCAGCATATGAATCTCAACAATGGTGACAATAAACAAACTAGTGACAAACAGATCAACTCTGAACATCACAAAACAAGCTACTAAAGTCCTAACAAAACAATAGCAAAATAAAAGCAAACAGGAAAAACCAATGAAAATTACAGGACAATTCCGCTGCATAATTTATTCATGCTGTAATGCATGATGTGAGCCATGGATGCGTTTTGATTGGTGGCTCCCATCATGCACTGCAACATGAAGCATTTGTGTGATTGTCTCCATTGTTGAGATTTATATGTAGATTCTTGATGTCTGTGTGTGATTTGAAAATCTTCAGATTATTAAATGGTAAATGGACTGCATTTATATAGCGCTTTCACAGACCCAATGGCCACCAAAGCGCTTTACAATTTGCCTCACATTCACCCATTCACTCACTCTCTCATACACCGACGGCGGTGTCAGCCATACAAGGCGCCATCCAGCTCGTCGGGAGCAGCTGGGGTTAGGTGTCTTGCTCATTGACACCTCGACAGGTGGAACCGGGGATTGAACCACCAACCTTCCGGTTTGTAGACAACCTACATGAACCACTGAGCAACTGCCCCCCTAAAGTACTGATTAAAGTATTAAAGTACTGCTGGAATTAGCTACTGTAATGAATATGAATAAAACATTAGTATAATCAGTTTACAATGCTGGTTCAATGTATCAGGCCACTACAGGATTGTAGGATTTGATTTGATCTAAACATTTCCATCATTACCTGGGCTTTATTTCCCAAAAGCATCTTAAGCCTAACTTGATCGTAGAACAATTGCAACAAATGGTCTTTACAATCAAAATAGGCTTACGATGCTTTTGGGAATCGCAGCCCAGGTCATAGCTTCTCTTGCTACAACAAATGTGCTTTATGAACACAGAGTTGGAGTGGCCAGATAAAAACTCATTTTAAAAAGTAAAGGGTCGAGAGTCCAACTAAAGCAAATACTAATCACCATAATGGTGACATTATGCATCCATAAAACATCACCATATAAACTTCTGTAAATCTAAATAAGACTGTGTGTAGATGTATGACAGAAATAAAGTCAAACTGGTAATAATAAGTGCAATAATGTGTAATATGATACAAAATACATAATTTGGCTATGTCGGAAAGTAAAATGCCGCCACTAGGCGTTTTGGGGATGGCTCCATTTCTGAAAATGTTCAGGGTCCCAAACTGTATAAGGGTACTAAGTTTCATGCTTTTATGAAAAAGTGAACATATCACCTCAAATTTTGCACATATCACCTGGACTAATATCTAATGCTTTGCTTCTGTGTGTTAAGAGTTAAGAGTGAGTGTTAAAATTAAATTCTTATTTCATGTCTTTTTGGTCAATATTAATTTAGGGGGAGATCTGTTAGTGTTTAATGTAATGTATAATGTAAATAATTATAAAATATAAGAAATATGTTATATTATATACTTATAAATGTGTGTATATACTGCATGAGTAAATATATGTGCAATATATTTATACACATGCAGTACCATATCACATGTAGATCTATATGTTATGAAGTACAGTATATATGACATACATTATGATATATATGGAAATATATTGTCACATGTTTTTCAATATATGAAAAGCGGCAATTCCTTAGGTATTATTCAATATATTGTAATATATTAACACAATATATTGTTCTGTATATTTTCAATATAACCATTAAATCCATTAATATATTGATCATTTATATATAAGGAAATATATTTTCTTTGCGTAAGGTTTTTGAACCCCAGATCTGTGTCATGGTAAGCAGTTAAGGCACAAATAGTGTGTTCTTTGGAGTGAGAACAATTTGGTATAACTACTATCTAACAAAAATGGACTTAAGAAGTACTTCACCTGACAAGGTTTTGTGCTAGATTATTTTACAAATTAATTTATGTGAATTAATAATTTTGTCTTGGCTCTGTTTCTAGGTGGAGCAGTTGTCCAACATGGTGGTGAGGAGCTGCAAGTGCAGTTAAAATATGACTATATAACATTATTTTATCTTCAGAAAGTGCTCCATGGCACTATCTCTCTCTGGATGATAAGTAAGCAAACACAAAGATAGATGGACACTGGGATAAAGTCTCACTGGGAAGGAAAATCAGGAGCTGAGACAACTGACGAGGATGGGAAAAGGAGATAGGAGAGTGGCAAAAAATGGAGGGAAAATGAAAGAATATCTTTGAAAATGAGACTCTCAGCTATGCCCCTCTACAATGTCACAAGAGCACACAAAGACATTCCGTTAAAGCATTTCACAAAACGAGCTCAATATTAAACCAAATATATGCTTTTTTTATTTTTTTTTCAATGTTTATTTACATTACTCATACCCATTAATTTATTGTGCTTGTTAAGTTCATAATTTGATTGTACCATGAGGGCAGCCGTGTAGCATTGCATGCCAAATGTTCAATGAAAATATCTAATGGTGCTGTACTGATAAAGGTAATGTTGTCAAAGGAACATCTAATGTGTCAATTAATGGTAAATACACATTAAAGAGAAGTGTTTGCACTAAACAATGGAGGTGAAGGCTCATGACGTACAGCATGTGGCAAGAAAGCTATTGGCATTGGAGCATGCGTGATTTAAATGCTTTAATATTTGGGTGGTTTTCTTTTAATGTGCGGGATGGGTCTTACTGTTGTGCACAGCTGTGCTCTTACACCCTCAGGATCTCACCTGAACAGGTTCCTGTAAACAAGATCTGAGTGTAGACCAGGTGAGGTCTCAGCTTTTGAAAGCAAGAGGAACACTAGAGGGTTAGTAGGCCTACTGAATGGTAAACATTTCAAAGCTCTCATGTGCTCCCCAACTACATATTGCACACTATCAGGTGTCACAGGAGAATGTCTTTTATAACTTGCCTCTTCAGGTCCTCCTGTAGTCAGGGTCTTTTAGTTCTCAAAAATATCCACAGCTTTGGAAAAGGAATGTGTTGGCCAATCTCAGCAAAATATGTCACATTTAAAGAAAATAAAAAATAAATAAAAATAAAATAAATATATATATTATTTCTCACAAATGTGAATCTTCATTTTAGGACCATGATTTTGCATCATGTGATGTAATATATTTTTTTTTACATCATTTTAGACACTGTAATGCATCTAGTCAATTCAGTTATTTTTGTTTACAGTAAAGACAGTACAACAAATACATAAAATGATTTATTAATACATTAAATTAATAAATGTATACAATTTAAGTATGTTTTTATTACAGTAAAATAATGTACTTGTCATGAAAATAATGTCATAATACAAATAATTTTGTCCTAAAGACAGGCTTAATTTTCTTGCAAATTTTTTTTAAAAACAACTCTTCTGGTTTTGAGGTGAAATTTGACAGATTTGATCAAATTCACCCATGTATGTGCAAGTGTGTATCTTGATAGTGTTAATGAGGAATTTTGAGTTAGTAAAGAAATGATTGTGACTGTATCTATGTGTGTGTGTGTGTGTGTTCAGTTGTTTCCTTGTGCTGACATCTTTATGAGAAGCATTAGTGTGTATATTTATAGAAGCTCCATGTTTTTGAGTGGTGAGAACTGTGTTCTGTGTGTTAGGTTAAATACAATGCGGCCGAGACTACACTGCTCGCAAACTCAAAGCACCCTTCATTGAAGTATATGGCTATTTGCAACATCTTTCAACATGTACATACTGCCATATAACATGTATTGCAAGTGTTTTAAATCGATATAGATGTCATTTGACAAATATGTCACATTCATGCAGTGTTTATTATATACTTTTACTTTTTTGCACTTATTTTGTGCCATTGTGACCCATTAATTGTTTCAATAAACAAAATAAATAAACAAGGCTCTCAATCCAGTCCACAAAATCTTAATGGAAAGACAGATTTTTCTCATAAATTCTCATTATTGTCATTCCCATAATAAATATTAGTAATTCCTGTGATGTAGGGTAGAGTGGGGGAAAACGCCCCCCTTAAGGACCGTGTCATTTAACAAAAGTTAAATGTGTCTAGAATTTATAGTTTTCAGTGACAATGACAAAAATTAAAAACTAAGTGTGAAAAATGTTTTCATGTTATTCGATTTTTAACAAAAATTAAAGTCCACATTTTTTTATTCAACCGCCTAGTTAGATAACATTTGATGGTAAAACAAAGAATGTGATGTTCAGACTGTGGTAACTACAGTAATTATGATAGTGGGAAGCGTTTTACCCCACAGACTAGCTTTGAAAAAAAATTATGTCATTTTAAAAATAAAATTATATTTTCCTTAAATAACATGTACTCCCTAACTACAGGCCTTACTATTCTCATATCATATAACTGTGATGTTCTGCAAAACAACAAGCTTTAAAACACTTTTTTTCTTGCTGCTCAAAATTAGATCACTTACCCTGAAATCCATTTTCACACAGTGAATACACATCCCTCTTGTCAACAGTCCATAACAACAACAAAAAACATATCTTGTCTTTATCTATTGGTTATCCTGCCCAGAAGATAATGGGGAGACTATGGAGTGTTCTAACACATTTTGTTTCAACTTTTTTTTTGTGTGTAGTTTCAAAAACTTTAAAGTAGTTTAGAAATCTTCATAAACTGTATAAATTAGGGTCAAGTATTACAGTGTTACAGCTCCAGTCCTACAGCAAATTCTTTACAAACAATTGTATTTTACTAATATTTATAATGATTTATTTATACATAAACATGTAAATAATAATAAATTCAGTTGTGAGAAAAAATACATAGGTCAACATGTTCTTCCCTAATAAACTTCCCTAATAAATGTCTAATGTTTTAATCAATCTATTGTCCTTCTGTTTCTGTTTTCTTTTGCTGTTGATTCTTTTTTACTTTCTCCTTTCCCCACTTCCCTCTGGGAATTAATGACATGTGGTTACTCAGGCTTTGGAAACGACTGATGCATGTCCAGACCTGCTCTAAAAATGTGGTGCTCTTAGTGATGACTCCATGGAAAAGTTAACAAATACACACACTGGCAAGCAGCACACTATAACATCCACTCAAGCCTTTATGCAAGACTGCAATGGGCAAAATTGTTGATCATCTACTGTACTCTATTGTTCATAAACATACATTTTTGGAAACTCTTGTCCTCAAACTCTGGACCTGAGGCATCCTCACATTAGATGTCTTCACAAGAGCCAAACAGCTTCTCTCCATACACCAGTATTGTTTAATTGCCATCCCTTGGGGTTTTTAACAAGCACACATTAACAAAACCATCAGTTTCTGTCTTTGCCAAGGCAAAAAATGTGCGGACTATTGACTTGGCAGAGCCTGACAGAGCTTTGTATAACTTTAAAGTCAACATGAAATCGAAATTCCCTTTCAAAGTGGAACTCAACACTGCATTGTGGATCGACGCTACTGTAAAACCCAACAAGTTAGGCTAACTCATTTCATTTGAGGAAACCGATTGCCTCAATTCATTTAAGTTTACAAAAAACAATAGTTATGAGTACTCTGAACTTATTTTATTCGAGTTCACTAAAACAATAATATTTCTTAAAACACAATTAAACTTTACACTGCATTTAATACTGTATATAGCTGAAACTTCACTTTATTGAGTAAAAACTGTGAAATGACAAACTTTAAATGAACTCAGAGCACTTGTAGTTACTGCTAGCTCACAATATCACACACAAAGTCAAATCCAATGAGTTAAGCTAACTCATTTCATTTGAGGAAACCGATTGCCTCAATTCATTTATGTTTATAAAAAACAATAGTTATGAGTACTGTAAAGTATCTGGTCAGGTTTTGGGGAAAATGTATTCAATAATTAATAATTCATAATTAATAATTATTCATACGGGTTTGAACCAAATAATTATACATGTTAAATCGCCCAAAGAGGGGGATAATATGTTAACTGCATCTGCATTACAATTAACCACAAAGGATTATAATCAACTGCATATGTACACATATTTTACAGACAGGTTAAAATTAGCTCAATTGTACTATCAATACTCAATCATAAGAATTATAATTAAATATTAATATATAAATTATGTCTATCATATATCAACTGTAAGGATACCCCTGATGGAATTAATTCAGTATCGGATGATCTGTTTGTCCAGCAAGCTGATCACGTGATCTTTATCAACTCGTACAGAATTATCCTACTTTATAGACTTTCAAGAGAAGCTATCCTCTGGCCACGAGGATTAACTTTCCTGTTCTATAAACAAAATACTATTTAAAGTATCTTTAAATTTGTAAAGCACGTAGCTTTGGATCGAAACATTAAAGGGACTTGTACATGAGCGACACAGACAGTCAACAAAATGAATAATGTATTTAATAAAGGAGTACACTACGTATACGGTTACTAACGTTGCAAGGAATAACATTTATTTACAGACAATAACACAACGACAAAAAACAAGACACTGAAAGTGTAAGAAACAGGGAGAGAGTGAGAGAAAGAGAGAGAGAGAGAGATCCGTAAGGATCACAGAATGGCAAAATTCCCCTGGACATTTAAACCTTTAAGAGACAACACGAAAAAACACAATCTTAAAGGAGAACTCCGGCGCAAAATGAACCTTTGGTCTAATAAAACATTGTTACCTAGTCAACCGTTCTCTGAGATTTGTTTTCATGATAATCGAATGTAAAGAGTTTTATCTCTAAAAACTGTTTAGCGTATAACGCTAGTAATGGGGGCATCTATTAAGTAAAAAGAAATCGCTAGTTTATACCACTAACAAGACTCAAAATAGCCCCACACTAACACAGTAACATAAAACGAAGCATTGAGAACTTTGTAAGTGTACAGACCGTTTAATAAGAAGATATTTTATGAAGACAGTCCACTTCGTGTATACAGACAGGAGCCATCTTTGGAAAACAGTCTCAACTAGTCAAACCACGAACGACGTGCTAAGTGAGCTGAACTGTATGAAGTTCAGTGAACTTCTGAACTGTATGAATGGCGTTCGTGGTTTGATTAGTCGAGACTGTTTTCCAAAGATGGCTCCTGTCTGTATACACGAAGTGGACTGTCTTCATAAAATATCTTCTTATTAAACGGTTCAAAGTTCTCAATGCTTCGTTTTGCATGTAGGGACCCTCATTATGTTACTGTGTTAGTGTGAGGCTATTTTGAGTCTTGTTAGTGGTATAAACTAGCGATTTCTTTTTACTTAATAGATGCCCCCATTACTACCGTTATACGCTAAACAGTTTTTAGAGATAAAACTCTTTACATTCGATTATCATGAAAACAAATCTCAGAGAACGGTTGACTAGGTACCAATGTTTTATTAGACCAAAAGTTCATTTTGCGCCGGAGTTCTCCTTTAATGCTGAAAGCTCGATAAAACGAATACTTGCACAGTTACTCTTTGTGTGGCTGCTTTGAAGGCATGAGAATGCGTGTTCCGTCTGGATCGTCACGTGGTCTGCGGAGGTGTCTGAGGCGCGTACTTCAAAGGTTTAAAGCTCCGTTGACTTAAAGTTTACCAAAGAGACAATTCAGGCTACGTTCATTCCACTCGTCAGTGGAAAAGAACACAGCAGAATCCGGAACGGAAAAACAAAACTTAACAAAACAAAAGAAAAGATCCCCGAAGGAGGATCACGAAGGAGTTACATGGTGATGCGAGGAAGAGGTAAGAGAGCGAAGAGCTGCTTGGCGCGTCTCTTTAAGACATTTCGGTTCACGCCTTCTCTCGCGTGAGTGAGCCAATCACCTGTGAGAAAAGTGCGCGGCCAAAGTGTTTCTTTGTCCTGTCGAGGCCTACTTTGCATGTTTTATGACAGTGACAGAAATGCGTTCAATTTTACTTCAGATATGATAAAACATAGTAAAATACATTTCATCACAATCTACGATATAGATTCAGCTAGTACACGTCATTACCTTAGAACACGTCATTAAACTTTTTTATTTTCAGGAGACACTTGTCTTCGACAAACGTGTTCGTCTGGAGTGCATTCGACTCCTTGGGTCTTGAAGTACACTGTTAACCCTTGCTGTAAAAAAGGGCCAAATTCTGACAGTATCATACCATTTTCCATTAAAACAGTAATATACCGTAGAAAACAGTGCATTCTGGGTAATATTTGTCGTTTTCGAGAAAATAGCCTACATTGTAAAACCCAAAAAGGTCAGCTAATTTATTTTGAGGACACCGATTACCTCAATGTAATTGATTTGATAAAAAACAATAGTTATGAGTACTCTGAACTTATTTTAATCGAGTCCACTAAAAAAAGGATATTTCTTAATTTTAAATGAACTCAGAGCGCTTGCTAGCTCACAATATCACACTCAAAGTCAAATAAAATAAGTTAAAATAACTAATAACATTTGAGGACACCAAATACCTTAATTCGTTTAATTTTAGAAACCAATAATTATGAGTACTCTGAAATTATATCAGTTGAGTCAGCATTACCAGCTTCACTTACTAACCAGATTGACTTTATTTCTGTCATACGTCTACAGGTTCTTATTGGGAATTAACAGAGGTTTAGATATTGATGACTTATTGAGTTTCATTTGAAGACACCATGATGGTGATCAGTGTTTGCTTTAGTTGGGCTCTTGACCTTGACTATATAACACCAGTCTTTCCCTGGCTGCTGTAACCGTGTGTATATAAAACACTTTTGTTGTGGCACAAAAGAAAATATGATCAAGTGTTGATGGTTGTGTTTTGATGATGAAAATCATCATTTAGTGACTTGATTCAATGATCTTTACCAGAGCCTAATCTCTAATTAAACTTTTATTAGTTTTGTATTATTCATTTTTATAGAACTGTGATTCTACCATGTAAGGTCCATTTTTTGTCACAATCAGATTTAA